TTTACCCGATATTTACCATGCGCCAAATCTTTCATAGTTTTCAAAGGCGCCTTCGACAACACAGTAAGGAGCTGCCTCCACGTCGCTATGTCTGAATTTGCTATCCCTGTAAGACTTATATGACGATGTATACTGACGCTGGACGACAGCAGAAGCGCCGTCAATATTGGAATGGGAGGCGGAACTATCCTAGTAGTTCGGTACAACTGCTAGTGTATGCCGATGATATTGATATCATAGACCCTTAAAACCGCTCCGTTAGTTTTGCTATTTCCAGACTTGATAAAGAAGTGATATGAAAGGGTTTGGTAATGAACGAGTACAAGACGAAATAACTCTATTGATGAACAAAAATGAAACTACAGATCACTCATCTTTCCCGTTCTATTATGTGGTGCAGATGCGTTGACTTTGTCGACATCCGAAGAGTCGGCCTTGGAGATCTTCGAGAGAAAAGTTTTGCTCGTTGACAACAGCTAGTTCAGCGAATGAAGACTCTTCGGCTAACCTGTTCCACTCACTAGATCACGTCGTCCGAATGGATGAAAACATTCCAGTTTTGGAAGTATTCGATGCAATATCCGCTGGTGGAAGAACTTTACTCCGTAGGAAAGATCAGGTGGAGGGGACCTGGTTTCGCTTGGTATTTCCAAATGGCCCCAAACAGCGAAAGGAAGGGATAAATGACGGATTATTGGCATATTATTGTTGGATGAACCTTGAAAAGAAAAATTTTTGAGACCAAGAGCTAGTCCGTTAGTGATGAACCGAGGTAGTCGAACTACTACTATATGTACCCTATATTATATAGATATGAATATTTGTTTCGTCTGAACATATAAAAAAGTAGCTTTGCTCTCATCTCTACCCCATTCTGGTTCGAGCTACGTGGCTAATGGACGATACCTAAGACGAATTTGTAATTCGATCTTCAATTTTCGACAGTAAACGAAGGACGAAATCCGAGTGTGTTCATAATAAGGACCAATTCCTTCTTTATTTTTATTGTTTTTTGCATGTAAATATATCAAAAAATTTTATAAGTGATTTTGCTTGGAATAAAATATGCTAGTAAAATTCTAACAGTCACTGTTGCCACCTTTTCGCGACCGCTGTACGAATTTCGTATGCATGTATATACATACATTACATACACCATACGCTATTTCCACTGGGCTTAGCAATTATAGTTACTACATTTTCTTAAATATATTATACATTTTAATATATTATTACCAGGCGCAAAGGTCATTTTACCGACGGCAAATGTGCTTAGTTAGTGAGGGGCAAAATTTTACTTATTTTCAATTCTTTTCCAAAATTTTTTCTTTTCAATCAATTTGAAATTAGTGCCTGAGGATGAATGAATGTATGTATGTATGCATGAAAATGTGGTTTTCATACCGTACATGTGCCATTAAAAATGCATATAAGTAAATACATATGTAATTTTATACATATGTATGTTCTCATATGTACATATGTATATATACCGGCAATTACTGGATACTGTTGATCAGAAGTGACTTGCCGCTTTTGATTAGGAGATTATTCATCCATATGTACATACGAATATGTAGGGCAGGTCTACTAGAAACCGGACAGGTTTAAAAAATAAAAAGTATAAAAAAAAATAAAAAACCTTTTAATAATTTTTTATTAAAAATAAATGCATGTGAAGCAGGAATTAATTAATAAAAATGTATAATTTCCACACCGTTTTTGTTTTAAAGGATTTACTTGGTGTACGTATCAAGGAAAAAGTGTACAAAACTTATTTTTTGTTAGTGCGAAGGAGATTTTTAAATGAAAATTCTGAGTAAAAATTAATAGAGCTTGGTTTTTATTGTTAAGTTTTATTTATAATTAATTTGGAATACATATTTCGTTCAAAAGAATATATTTATATTTAATAATTTAATAAGAAAAAATACAGAAGTATATTCCTTCCAGTGTTCGGACAGTCCTTTGTTTCATTATTCTATATTAAATATTAAATTTAAATTTTAACTGAAATAACTAATGAATAAGTTGGCCAGAACAAAGAGTTTCCAATAAAGAGAATGTAATATTGACATAACCTGTAAGTCTAGAGTTTCCTTGCAAATCGGGTCCACAAGCAATTAAACTGAAAAAACACAGTAATATGAATATCTCGTAAAAAATACGACCTATAAACATTATAAAAGAATATAGAAATAACATAGGATTTTACGAAAAACTATTTTTTGTTTGTTTTTAAAATAGGTTATATATACATATGTACTCTTACAGCGATAGATGAATTTCACATAGATATGTGAGGTACTACGCGGTATTAAGGAATCAGGAAAGGTGAGTAGCTACTCACTCTCCTAGTGTAAATAAGGTCAGGCATTCAAAGGTGGTTGGGAAAGTCGTTGTGAAGAACTATTTCACCCTTTTGAATATATATTCTTATTTAGAAGTGGACAAAATCTTTTCCCTCTCTGGAAATGCAGTTGCGAGCGCTACTCCTCTACCTTTAGGGTCCGCGCGAAGACTGAAGTTTGCAATACATCAAAAACGGCCTCGAATTTTAAGTCACTAACATACACGTATGTACATATCCATATCTAAACTGTACTTACATATGTACATAGTATGTATGTATCTAAAAACCGAATAATGATAAAAATTACATATACATATGTACCTACCATTTAAAACGGTTTTATACGATTTCTATTAATTTCCATATTTAGTTAGATACATTTCTTCATTTTTAAAAAAGGCATTTCGTATGTATGTACATATGTATGTAGGTATATTTTGAGAATTCGCGTTCTGGAAAGTTTTTGCTAGAATCCGCTTTGATACCGAGCTGTGGGTACCTACACACCTATATATGTACTAAAACCTCACAGAAATACCTATGATTGTTCGCTGAAGCGATTTTCGGTCGAGCTCCTCATCCAATTTGTGGTCTTGCGTCTTGATCTCTTTCCAACAAATAGTGCGGCGACGGCAATTAGAAAATTTTGCTTAATTTTTATGAAAGGTTTCGAACCTGAGCCTTTCGCATGACACTACGCAATTCTAACCACTTGGTTACCGCGGCCGCCGGTTTGTTCCTTTAGTTAAATTTAATTAAAAACATGCAAGATTTACCAACTTTGGGTTATGGTTATGTTGATTCTTTATCTTTTCGCGTATAAACAATTTTTTATATATTTATATAGCATTATTAACAATGGAAAACCTTCGCGAATTATTCCTGCTATGTACATATATATATTTATGCATGTTTGCATATATGTATGTATGTACATACTTATTCACATATGTATGTGTACATCGCTTTTAATGTAAGTTTTTATTTTCCACATTCAAAAATTGCTGTAGTAGTCTACATACATATTCACATATGTACATATATATATACATACATACAACTTTGTTGATACCTGTACAGTCATTCATACATAAAAAAAACGCCAACCTACATACCTAAATGCATAAACAAGTTTGTGGACAGCGTTTCTTTAATATTGCTCTTTGTAAACTTAAATACTTAAATAGCTTTCTCTCAGTTTAAATGGTTTCGCTCACTGAGTAAATACCTAAACGGCCTAAACCAGTTTTTATTATTCTTTTTTTAATAGTTTCTTTTTAGTCTTATTTTTAATAATTCGGCTAATGATGTTACCAACAATTAAGGAAAATTTATTAAAATAAAATGATCAAGTCATTGGTACTTATAACCATACACACATACTTATAGTTGAAACGAATACCTTGAATTCTTCGCATTACCAATAAAACACGATTGCTGCTGCTTAATTTTCATTCGTTGATAACGACCAATCGCTTGCTATTCATACCCCGCCATCTATATAAGCAGCACGACATGTCGACGAATGGCAAGTCTACTTTTGAGTGAAAATCTATTGAGTGCCACTGCTGACAGTTCATTGGTTACACTTAACCAATTAGAGTACGCTAACTTTTATATAGAAGAGTGGGTTGTACGAATGAATATTGCTGAGTGCACGCCTTTTGGCGAGAGCAGCAGAGAGCGGAATTGACATATTGAGAGCGTAAACAGAAAGTGTTTCGTTATTATTCGGTTCGACTGAGTATTTTAAAGATACAAGTTATTCAACTATGAACTCACCACTTTGGTGTAAAGTAGAAAGAGTATGGCAGAAACATTTATTAATGTATGTATGTATGTTTGTTGATATTCATTTAGTTGGTGTGTATCTATATGCGCATGATTGATTGAAGTCTGGAAAATATAATAGATATATACATACATGCTTATGTAAATATGCATGTACGTGCCTGTTTTTTATTTGTGTGTTTTTAAATGTGGACGTGTACATATATATGTAGTTACAGCCTGTCAATTTATTATTTTGCTTAAAAATTATTTTTAGCAAAAAAATGCATAATTTTGATGGTAGTTATGTATATATGTACATACGTAGATAGAGAAGAAGTGCTGAAACATTTGAAATGAAGAATATTTACCTATATAGATATTACATATACATATGTATGTATATGTAAGCAAAATATTTTTTTAAATTTAAATATTCATATATATGTATGTATGTAAATGAATACATATACTACATTGAAGCACCTCGTCTTATCTTTAAACGTAGTCACTCAATATTAGTTTCAAAGTAAGAAATTTATCAAGTAAAAAAGTTCTCATAATACAGTAGAGGCTAAATTAATGGCACAGGTTTTAACTTTTTCGACATTAATATTTCATTTTTTGATAAGCAAAATTTTAATTCTTTTTTTTTCGACAGCCTTTGGCGTTGGCATTGCTTGTGATGAAAATTTCTTAGAGTTTCATGTACATACAAACATATTTATGTATAAAAGTATTCATCTAGCGACAATAAAGTCATACTGTCACGCAACGCGGCGCAGAGGTGCTGCATATCTGTCAGCAGCTTTAATCAGCAAATCGCTTATCATTGCTTTATATGCATTATAAATAAGCTTATTATACGCGGTTATATTTACAGTTAGCATTGCAATTTCACTGTTGAAAGAACGGTTTATATGTTTTCAATTTAACTCTCAGACTAAATAATAATTTAAAAAAATAAAAAAATGGGTGAGTGAAAATTTAAAAAGGAATAAAATGTGAATTTTTTGTGTACTCAAACCGAATGGAGGTAGAAAATTTAAATAATGAACTCATGAAAGCGGGATTAAAAGGATAGCAACTATATATGTATGTATGTATTTATTACATACAACTATAAAATTAATTGCCTTCACTTTTTTCTTTTTCTTATAATTAAATTTATGTAAATACACAATAAATAAATACATATGTATATATGCATATATGTACATATATACATATAAATAAATAAAAAAAAACTTATGAACGTATACACGTACATACATAAATATACATATATGTATGTATGATAAAAGCTATTTGAAACTGAATTAAAGTCAATGTGATTCATGATTGATGAAATGCACTGCGCCAACAAAGAGAGATTTTATAAGTGAAAAACTTGCTCTCGGAATGTAGGTATGCACATAAATACATATGTACGTTTGTTCATGGGCAGTGATTAGTGAATATTATGCAATTTAATGCAGACTTTATATATAAATACATATGTATGTATATAATAGGCCCTTTGTAATCACTGAAGCGATTGTCCGCCGAGCACATCCTTCTATTTGTGGTGCGCGTCGTGATATTTTTTCCAACAAATGGAAGGACCTACAGTTTATTATAAGCCGCCTCGGAATGGCTGATGGTTTTTAGCGATTAGTCTCCATCTCATAATAAAAATCCAGCAGCTCATTTAAAAGTCGCTTTTATTTAAAATTAATACATTAAAAATAAGTAAATATATTTATTGTGTTACTATACTTTACAACAAAAAATAAACAGTAAATTTTTGACAAGCTTTGGGCTACCGCTGAGTTTCGCCTGCCGGATCCTTTACAAAAAAATGAAATAAAATTAGAGGCCATTTTTGATTTATTGCAAACTTCCGTCTTCGCGCGGGCTTTATAAGCAGTGGAGTAGGTCCATGCAACTACATATATTTTAAGAGAGGTAGAAGAACCGGCCCACATCTAAATAAGAATATATCCGTTAAGGCGGCAAATAATAACTCACCATGACCTTCCATAAGGAGGGAGTAGATCCTCATCGCCACTAAATAGCTGATTTAATTTACAATAGGAGCTAGAGTAGCTTCTCACATTCTGTCGATGCCTAAAATGGAAAGTAGTGCCTCGCATACATACTTGTGTGCAATCTGTCTACAAATGTAACACGGTTATATGTACATTCAAATATACATATAACATTGTAATAGAGTGTTAAATGGGGGAAATGTTTTAAAAATTTAAAAATTTAGATTTTTCTCACATCCAACTATTATTTTTATATTTTTTTGATTATATTATATTTGTAGGCCCCAATATATTCATTGAACTATGCTTTCTTTTTTCCATTAAATATTATATGGATTTCATTTGTAAGGAGCCTTTTGAATTTTTACTTTAAAAGATCTTAGGGAGGAGAATTAGGAACTCTATAAATATTATTAGGAACTCTTTTTGTTTGTCAGCTTATTGATTATTTATTTTAATAAAAATTTTAAATTAAATATAATATATAAAATAATGAAACAAAGGAAGATATTTAATTTCCAAACATTTTCCATTGCCTGGCACATTGCCCGTACAATTAAAATAAGCTTCATTTTCATTTCATTAACCGGACAGTCGTATTTATTAAATAAAAAATAAATTTTTTTTCACGAAATATGTATTACAAATTAATAATAAATAAAACTTAGCAATAAAAAATCAATTTCCATTAATAATAACTTATAATTCTGCATTTAAAAATCTCGTTCCCACTAACAAAAAATAACTTTTTCACGCTTTTTCCGAGATACTCCAACTAAAACCCTTTGAACAAAAACGGTGTGGAAATTAATTATACATTTTTATTATTTAGTTCATGCTTCGACTGCATTTATTTTTCATATTAAGCTATTAAAAGTTTTTTTTTTTAATTTTTTTATTTATTATTTTTTATTTTTTTTTTCTTAAGCCTCAGTACGGTTCTAGCACACTTACCCTACATACTCGTATGTACACATAGATGAATAATCTCATAATCAAAAGCGACAAGTCACTTCTGATTAACAGTATCCAGTAATTGTCGGTGTACTCGTATATACATAAATACAAGTACATACATATGTATACAACTACATATTTACTTATATGCATATTTAATACAATAACAGGAAGTTGACGCACATGTACGGTATAAAAGCTGATAAAACAATTTCAAATAATAATTTACTACATATTTATACACTTACATACACACATATATGCATATCAATACATAAGTACTAATTTCAATTTTGAACTGCATTATTAAACTTTCTTTTATCTTTTCATATATTTTATAATACATGTATGTATGTACATATGTATGTATATATTTTAGCTGAACACCACTGGGTCTCCACAACCATCGACAGCGAACTACCACCCTTTGCCGTACAAGCCGGACACGATTCGGATGGTTCGCCAATCTTTGTGGGACGTGCATATCATAACGGTGATATGCTTGTGGCGAAAATTGTACCCAACAAAGGGCAAGCATATGTAGCGTGGGGCGGTGAGGAGGTGAATAAACATGATATTGAAGTATTGACTGGTCATAACTATCATTGGGTACCCGATGCAAATGGCGCTGTACCCGCCGGTGCTGTCGCCTGTGGTCAAACTAGTCTTGGTGAAACATTGTATGTGGGACGTGGCTATCATGCTGATAGTTTGACACCGGGCAAAATTCATCCTTCACAGGGTTGCCTGTACATTGGTTTCGGTGGTGAGGAGGTGACACTGACCAATTATGAGGTGTTGGTGCGTAATTATTAATGAAAGTAAGCAGTCTATATAATGAGTTATATGAGTTGTTATATTTTAAAGGTTTAAAAAATATTTTTAATTGCAAAAATAAAATAAAAATAAAAACTATTATAAAAAACAAGTTAATATAAAAAGGGAGCGTCAATCCTTGCGATAGTTTTTATGGCATGAATTAAAAGTTCCTCATAAAAAACCATCAGCTGTTGGGGAGCGCCTTAGTATAAGTTGTAGATCCGAACATTTTGAAAATACATAACCATAAATTGGAGGAGGAGCTCGGCTTAGCGGTTACAAAGCGCCAATTATATATATTGGCTCTGGAATCCACTCTCCGATGCCCTTAATAAATATGAGAATGAGACTACCCGACCACTGCAGCGTCTTCCAAGCAGAACTCTGTGCAATCATGGAAGCCGCCGAATAGCTGCTCAAATCTACGGCAGCTGGACAATCAGTTACGATATTTTCCGATAGTCAAGTTATCATCAGATCTCTACAATGTAATAGTACCACATGAAAGCTGGCTATAAAGTGTAGAAGTAATCTGAATAAACACGCGACTAAATGCAGCCCTGCCGTGTTCGGGTACTCGACCACAGCGACAATACAGGCAATTGCTGACAGACGAACTAGCTAGAGCAGGAACCCTTCTGTCTACAATAAATCATTCACACGATACTGTTTTACCACTGTACACGGCATAGTACGGGCTTAAACTGACCTTTACCAGAGAAGCTTACCCCAGATGGCTGAATAAGCCAGACAGCTATGGCCAAAGTTGGACGCGAAGAAAACAAAACATCTTATGCTTCTCGACCCCTTGTCTATTACCATAATGACAGGCATAATAACAGGCCACTGCTTAATGGGACCGCACGTGGGAAAAAATGGGCTACCATTGTAATGATTTTTGCTGCAGTTGTAGGGACGAAGAAGAGGAGGAGTCTATTGTCAATTACCTCTGCCACTGTCCAGCCTTGACATCTGCGCGACTCAAGTTTCTTCGTTTCTCGCTGGAAATCTGGTCGGTTTTATAAGGCACACGAAATCGTCTGAACATTTGAGAAAGTGAAGATAGGAGCTCCACAGTGGTGTTAGCTTATGTTGGCGTTGGTTACTGACCAGCAGCCGCATCAACTCAACTCAACTCATGCCGGCTGCAATACCGCAATCGTATAAAGGTTATGAAATTGTTTGAGTTAGTCATGTAGAGATGTCCGTGCTTGGACGAAAAGAAATAGAGGCACCCACAATTTATTCCAGACGAGCTCCGAACGGCTGATTGTATTCTGTGAGCAGCTTTTCGGGGTATTTCCTATCAGAAAGACACACGGAGGAGTGAACCCCGCGCCAATTATAAATAGTTTTGAATAATGGTTGCAGCTACTTTTTTTTACAAATTTAAGCATTTTTACACAGCACACAGTGAATGACGCCTAAAAGTAGATAAAATTCTTCGGATTTCATATAAAAACTTTACTAGACTGACTTTAAAACTAAAATGCTGTGCAAAAATACTGATGGAATGAGAATGGAAAACAATATTAATTACCGTAAAACTACAAATATTATTTTATTTTCTATGAAGCCAGAGAGTATGCTATGGTAGAGGGTCGGGAGAGAGAAATATCAAGGCATTCATTAAAAATTCTATAAGAAATTCCGACAAAAAAGTTATACAAACAAAAAGGCATTTATATACGTTTACATATTTATAAAATTTTGCAAATAAAATTAAAAAAAAATTAACCAAAACATAAGATCATGGCAAATGAATAATGCCAGCCAACACGATGACCTAACCTCAATGTTATATGATTTACGTAATAAATTGTTAAGATGCTTATATTACAGCTATGTAGCCGAGTGACCGCGGTAGCCGAGTGGTTAGCATTGCGTACTGCCGTTCGGAAGGTTCGGGTTCAAATCCTGCTGTCGTACTAACATACAAAAAATTATAAAAAAAAAAATTAATGTAAATAAAAAATTAAGTTAAATTTTCGAATTGCGGTCGCATCTCAGCAGGGAATGTTAACCTATCCGAGTGTATTTCCCGTCAAAAGGTAAAGGCTTCCCATAGAAAACCATCAGCCGTTCGCAGGCGGCTTAGTATAAACTGCTCGTCCTTACATTTGTTGGAAAAACATCAAGACGCAAAACCACAAATTGGAGGAGGAGCACGGCCGGTAATCGCCTAATATATATATATTTATATGTATGAATGTACATAAAACTTTCTTCCTACTCCGAAGTTGCATTGTAGCCGTAGAGCTTTCCATCCTGATGAAACTACAGCCCACAATGATTCTGCAAGGCCACTGCCTAAATTTCAAGGTAGAGTGTTAGTTGTAGCGTCAAGGGGTTGAGAAAATCTCTCGAAACTCCACGAGAGCTAGACTTTCAGACAAAGTAGCTCGCACCGCTGTAGTTCAGCACTGGTTACCAAATCATTGTTCTTTGGAAAAGTATAACATGATAACTTTGGCACTCAAGTCGAAAGTATTGATATATCTATGGATGGTTCGAAGCTCCATCACTCATTTGCTGGCAGTATCTTCTCAACAAACTTACATTTTATGCGCTATTTTAGACCATCGGATGATTGCTTTGTCTTTTAAGTCGATATTTTGGTTACTATGCGCCAGTACGTTGGAGCCGAATTCACGTACATGAATATCTTGATTTTCACTGATAGTCAGACAAGGATTAGGAGCTTGATTCGCTGTCGAAGAATTTAAAACTTGTGCTGAGCCAATCACATCTGACTTGGTTTCTTGGTCTTGGAGGAAAACTATATAAAAGGCAGTTGAAGAGCACAAACTTCCCGATCAACAACCCAACTGCTACAACACAAAAAATGTACCTACTCCCCTCCTTCTCGCGCAGGGTACTCATTTAAAAGAAAAAACTTCGTTGCCTTCACTGCTTGTGAAGATGTGCGATCGAAAGACGGTTAGTTTCCACCAAGAGATGCTGCAGAAGCTACAGAAAAATGTTGAGGAGCAAGACGCCAACTCCAATCTTTTATGCGAAGGTCTCAAGTTGAGTTTTGCAGCTAAATTGCTGGATGATTTGTTTAAGATTGTAAGCTAAAGAAGGTAATATGATTTATAAGGGACTCGAGATGTATGGATGGTGGAGCTTAAAGATCGTATTAATATTACATTAGATTGAATCTACTGTGGGCTAAGTGTATTGACTTATAGCAACTCCTGCATACCCGCCTCTCCAGCCTACGCTGAAGTGACATACATATAGAGATTCTTTAAATTAAAATTGCAAGCAAAATTAATCGTTGGTGAAACCCAAAATCTTTTGGTTTAACGACGAAAAAATTAAAAAAAACTATTTCTTAGAACAAAAATATTTTATTTTAAAAAATTTACAAAAATCTAAAGAACAAGTACATACATACATATTTATGTAGTAATGAAAATATATGTATTAATAACAATTTTATTTATTATTTATTTAGCCGCGCACCAAAACCTCATAATTGGTTAGAGTCACTTCCTGCCCACCGAATGGAATGTACAAACAGCCATGCGATGGATGAATTTTACCCGGTGTCAAGCTGCCGCAATGATGGCCACGTCCAATATATAGCGGTTCACCGTCACTGGTGCGTCCACAGACAACAGCGCCTGGTGGTACAGCACCATTTGCGTCGGGTACCCAACCATAACCATAACCGGCCAACAATTCATAATCATGTTTGACAATCTCACGGCCACCCCACGCCACGTATGCACAACCCTTACGTGGAATAACTTTAGCCGGCAAGAGATCACCCTCATGATAGGCACGTCCCACATAGATTGCATCACCATCCGCATCGTGACCAGCATGAATGGTACCGGGCACAATATTGTCACCCGATGAATTTACCCAAGTTTCAGGCTGTACGAGCACTTCATAACTATCGAGTTTATGTTCATGACCACCATATGGTATATAGAGGCAGCCATGTGATGGATGCACTTTGCCGGGTGTCAAACTGCCTTCCCAATGACCACGTCCAATATATAACGGTTCACCGTCACCAGTCTGACCGACACGTAAGGCATGTGGGGGCACAAAACCACCGCTGGCTGGTACCCAAACGTAATGGTGTCCCGTCAATACTTCAACGTCGTGCTTATTGATTTCCTCACCGCCCCACGCGACATAGGCTTGATGCTTGTTGGGCACAATTTTGGCAGGTAATATATCACCGTTATGATAGGCGCGGCCAACATAGATTGGATCACCGTCGGAATCGTGTCCGGCGTGTATGGCGAATGGTGGCAGTTCGCTGTAAACGTTCGTTGCAACCCAGACGTGTTCGGCTGGAAGGAGATTTCAAGAGAAAATATTATTGTAAGATTTTTTTTTTCATTTTTTTTTTAATTTTTATGTATGTACATATGTAAATAATTGCAAGTTGCATAAGATTAAGAAATTGAAAAAATTGTATAATTTATTTTTATTTATTTTTTTTTTTTTGGTTAGTAAGAATGGACTTTGGTAAACGCCGCTGTCAGTTATCAAATGTACATACATACATGAGCATAGTTACAGTTATTGTAAACAAGGTATCAATTTATCAATTTTGAAATTCTTTTGTACACAAAACTTGTTTAGCATTCAACATGCTTGTATGTATGTAAGTGTGTAGACTTTTACTTATGTATGTACATACGTATTTAACTGATGCAAATATTTATTTTTAAACAATTTATCAACTTATTGTTCAATAACACTAGTTATCATATCAAAACGATACATACATACATATATATGTATATGTAAATATGAAAACATGTGCTAATATGTATGTATATGCGCTAATATCATTATTATTATTTGTATGTACGTGGATTGATATTGTTTATGACACTTTAAGGCGAAGATTTTTGATTTTAATTTATTTATATATATATGTACATACAGATGTATATATGTATGTATGCACGTTTACATCAAAGCAGACCTAAAAGATTACTCGTACGTTTACATGGTATTTTTGATCTAATTCCTCACATTCCAAAGCTCATATGCAGCTCTAGTGAAGCCTCAATGCATATATACTTATATAATATATACACGTATACACGTTTGTCCGATACACAAATAATTAATTTCACTTAAGTAAATCTTGTCAATAATTTTCTAATCTCGAGACTTTGATAGATGTGTGTGTGTACTTAATCTTAATTATAATTTATTGTTTTCATAAATAATTAAAAAATGTCTGCAACATCATGCCCTGTCGGAAAAAGTAAACACTCAACTTATATACAAAATCATATTATAAATATAATTATTATTTTTTTTAAGTTATTTAAAATTTTTTTATTTTTTTATTCTATTGAATTTTAAATATGTGTATAAATAAATACTAACAAAATAATTTTATATATGCACATATACAGTTTTACATACATACAAATGTATTTGCAGAGTTGTTGCTGGAGATATTAACCAGTTAGTTCCAAAAGAGTTAGTGTCGAGGCGTAAGTATTTTCATAAATTACTTTTTTTTAATAAAATTTCCTGCAGGGTATGTTAGAAAGACTGTTAAGTGGTCAGCTTCTTAAGACGTTTCTACTTTTTATTAATTCTTTTTTTTTTTTGATGGCGACCCCAGTGTTACCCACCTCCCGCCCAAACGACCGAGTGGCGCGCCTAAAGCATAATCATATAAACCAACAACCCGGTAACCTAAAACCAAATCCAGTCCCAACTGCCTTAAGTACGATACCAATCGGATGCGATTACAATTGTCGCTAAAGATTTGCTCATAAGCTGCATTTCAAAGCACAATAAAAGAGGTCTAAAGTGACTAGTTGTTCTTAAAGGGATGATAAAGTTAAGATCCTTACGTAGGAGTGGGCTATTGATAGCTCCTCTTATCAATTCAGTTAAAAATTAAACTCCAAGCATCTTTCTACCACTTTGGAGCGTAGAGAGATTCATGACTTTTGTAAGAAAAGAGGTTCTCATTCGCAGCTCCGCATAGATTGAAATTTACCCCTATGCAATGGATTGTGCGGACGCTATGCGGACCCAGCTATATTCTAAAATAAGCCTAATAAGTGAAGTAAAGAATAATTTGGTAATGTATGGGTCATTGGACTACTTAGCCTAATGATTAATGAAAGCTAAGACAACTTTTGCTTTATTAGCGCAATGATTTATATGATTTCTAAAATATAGCTTACTTGACCGGTGAGTATACCGGCTAACAACTTTAACAAAACTTTAAATGCAAGTCAACGATTTAACTAATTTCCTGTAACCCGAAGATGGCGAGCGCTTCGCTTCTTGATCGATTTTAAAGCAACCTTCGATAGCTTTACACCGCGAAACTTATATCGTTTTAAAAATTTACGCTAAGAAACTGTAAGAGATTTGTCAAAATTGGTAAGGAGCCCTTTGAGCCATGTTGTTGCGGTTTTAGACAGGGCTCTAAGGCTCTATTTAGTGTGAATTTTCGAACCCAACGCTGAAGAAAGTAATACGAGATAAAGAGCTCCACAGAATGGCGGATGGTATTTATTGTAAAAGCTCTCGGTTCTATATGCTGCAGATGAAAGTAAGGCAAATCAGTCTGGAAGTGAATGAGAATAACACGAAATGTCTCTTTCTAAACGTGTGCAACGTAAAAGAAGAAGAAGCTTCAATTTTTAAAATTCTAAGTTAAGAGAGAAAGCTGCAACTATTTTTTTTATAATTTTTCTCATTTTTTCTTATTTCGATAAGTAAAATTAAGGTTAAAAATTTTTCATAGAAAACTTTCTAAAAATGTTAAGAAAACTTAGAAAATATTTAAATTATTTCTAGGCACTTTTGGGCATTCTCAACCTCATGACAACGTCATTTTGAAATTATAGAAAGAATCTATTTTTGCCGGCTGCATTAATTACGTGTCGACTGCTACTTGGTTAACACTCACAACTTTATGATGGCGAAAGTGCACTTATTAATACAGATACAGTTATTTTTAAATACATACTCGTACATACATACACACATATATAAATATACTAAGAACTTGTGATAAGATAAAAATTAGTTGAAATCATCAACGACTTAAAAGTGAAAAATGACACGTTAGTAAATATACTCGTACACATACATGCACATACATATGTACATATGTTGCATAGAAACTAGTAGAATATTATGACATTAAATATTTACATATGCACATGTGTGCAAATTTAACCGTGAAGGTATTTAACTTTTGGCTTTTAATAAGAGATTGACATGTAGGAAAAGAAATAAATTTCCTACAACTTTTTACTATTTTTTATATGCTGGGAAAAAAATCGATCAAAATTTCTTCTTTTCCTTTATAATTTTCATAGTTTCTTTTCAAGATTAGCACATCAGTTTTCTGCTAAGGAAATCAATTTAAAATTTTTTACACTACTTTTTAATTTTAAATTATATAAATTCTTCTTGTTGTTTTTATCGACGACGCAAATAAATTTTCCAAAAAATTTTTAAAAACAAATTTCTTTCAATTTATTTTATTTTTGAAAATGCAAAATGAACGCGTTTTAATTCAATTTATCATTTACATAATATGTATGTATGTATGTAGGGGAATCTTTTCAGTTATTAACACTCGTTTTCTGCACTTGTTTTACTCACCCATTTTGTATAGTTTTTAAAGTCACTGGGTCTCTGTTTTTAATAAATAAATTAATTAATTAAAAATATTTTCCTGTACTAGTTAAGTGTAGTACGTTGTTACGTTTATGAAGTCGCAATAGTAACTGAGCAGAATTATATAGTAACCGCCAAAAAATATACAAATGTATACACTGAGGAACAAAAAGATAGGCATGTAATATTAAATTAAACAACATTAAATAAAATAAATTAAAATTATAAAATAAAATAAAATAAAAGAAAATAAAAGAAAATAAAATAAAATAAAATAAAATAAAATAAAAAAAAAATAAATTAAAATAAAATAAAATAAAATAAAATAAAATAAAAAAAAATATAAATTAAAATAAAATAAAATAAAATAAAATAAATTAAAACAAAATAAAGTTATGAATTATGAATTAAAAAAATATTTATCCTTTCGAACGCTAGTGTAGATAAGAATAAGCACGTACTGGTGTATTCAACTGTTATCTTATCAATGTATGAAAAGGTTGTTTTCTTTTTTGCCTGTAAAACAGAAAGTTTCCAGGTAAATTGTAAAAGCTTTTGAAGTTTTGTGTTCATACATAAATACAATACATAGTGCAAGTATATACATACATACATATATATGCACATATATGCCTTTATATCAGTATGAAAATATTTAACAATAAAAATTATGACATATTGATTCTATTTCCTCTTCCACAGCTCATAGTCCCACCAAAAACATACATCAATATATATATATATATATATATAAATATACGCGTATAAGTACTCGTATGTATATTATTTGCTTTTGCAATCTGCACCTGTACTATATTCCGTTACAAAGCGGCATGAAACAGTGGTGTCGACAAAAAAGGGTTGATAAACTCTGCTGAAGTTAATAACCTTTGTGAATAAATAATGAATAAAAGCAAGTTTGGAATTGGCGAAAAACATTTATGCAAAATTAATGAAACGTTTTGCATTTTTTAAAAATGTTTGAAATTGTATATTTCGACAAATCTTTGAACTATGAAATATTAAAACTCGATTTTGAGTCCTGAAAATAATTTTACATTCATTCAGAACTTTATTTTATTGTTATTTATTTATTTATTATTATATATCTATATTTTATTTTTTTTTACAAAATTTCTTGTTTGTCTAAATTCTTCCTCGGAGCGTTACGTATGAAAATGCGTATAAATTGTTTTTTTTTTTTTACTTTTCAAATTCACACACTCGCGCACAAACATACATACACTTTCTCACATACATATGTATATGTATGTTTGTACATTAATTGTATTACATTTAAGCTATTAATAACCTTCAGAAGGAAGTCAGTTTATAAGCACCTTATATAATTTATGATGGGATTTAAATTTTACCTATGTGCATACATAAATATAACTAACGCATAACATAAAAGATATGTACGTATATTTCCATGTGCACTTATATATATATTTTTGTACATATGTTTAAATGTGTAAATAATTTACGACATTAAAAACTTTTATTTACATACATACGTATCAATTGTTAGCTATCTTCAGGTGCTTTCCCTAGTATGTATGTATATACAATACATACATACAGGATTAATCTTATCGACTTATCAATAATAAAAAATATAATAAAGTTTTCACGCCAGTTTATATTTATCGATTGTTGTTTTTAGTTTCAAGTACTATTACTAATACATAACTACACATAGATTTATTTACTTCTAAGTTTTTATTTATTGAAATTGAAAAATTGACATTAATTCTTGTTCTATTTACTTTTGATAGTCATTTGTTATTCAATAATTTTATACTAACATTTTTTTAAATATTTTTTTTGCACATATCATACATACATATAACAGTTTGATTTTTCGGCGGAAAAATATTTTATTTATTTATTTATAAACACATTACTCAACGTCAGTTGTATATATAGAGGTATGTATATGTGTGCGTGTATCTATATCATTAACATGAATACACACTGAGTCACTGAGTCAGCTGCAAGCAGAAAAAGAAAACACCTGACGATTTTTGATAAGATATTGAATGAAACAACCATCTCCCATTGACAACTGTAAAAAAGAGTGTAAGGAATTACATATGTATGTATGTACAACCACACGCATTGATTCTACTTGTTATTCGCCATTCGCAAATGGTACCTGCTCTAGAAATTTCATTGTGTGGCAAAGTCATGACACATATACATACATATATAAAACCAAATCTTCGAATAGCCACAAAGTGTACACAGATACATATGTATTACTTTGCTAATTTATATTCGAATATTTAAAGAAAGAACAAGTGGTATTCATAAACTATGAACTAAATATTTAAAATCCTTAAATATTAAATTAAATTATAAATATAAAATTATAAAATAAAAATAAAGAATAAAGTAATGAATAGACAATAAAACTCAAATAAAATAAATTAAAAAATCAATTCAAATAAGATTTAAGCAAATTATAAAAATAAGCTTAAATAAAATTAAGTGAAATAAAAATATAAAATCAAATAAAATAACTTATTAAAATTAAAATTTTAATACAACAATTCAAATCAAGAAATTTGAAATGAATTTAAAAATTTAATTTAAGTGAAAAAGAATTAAGTAAAGTAAAAAAAATAACTCCAACAAATAAATTATAAATATAAAGTCAAAAGAAATAAAATGAATCTAAAAAAATTAACTAAAATAAATCGAAACAAAATAAAAGTAAAATAAAATAAATAAGAAATGAAACATAATACATATATGAAAATTTTTTTTAATTAACTACACAAAAAAAAACAAAAAAAAAAAATTAAGTAAGGTATAAATACTAAAAAAAATAATGTACTTCATCTTAGGAAAATTAAAACAAAATCGATTTAACGCAATCCATATGTTACAAATTAAAATAAAAAAAATTTATTAAAAAAAGCAAATAAAAAAGAAAACTAAAAAAAATGAAATAAAATAAAATGAATAAAATACTAAAAAATAAAAATACAATAAAATGAAATAAAAAATATAAAAAAAAATTATCAAAAATAAAATAATTAAAAATAAAATACAATAAAATAAAGAAAGGATAATGCAATAAAACAAAACAAAATACGAAAAAAAATTAGGTTAATTAAAATACTTCAAAAAAATAATGAGTTAATTTAAAAAAATATTATAATTTAAAAAAACAAGGAATAAAATAAAATAAAACAAAATATGATAAAATAAAACAAAGTAAAGGGAAATACAATAAAATGAAATTAAAAAAAAAAAAATTATTATAATAATTCAAAATAAAATATAATTAAATTAAAAAACGAAGTAAAATAAAAATAAAGTATAACAAAATTAAATAAAAAAAAAACATGAAAGAGCAAATAAACAAAAATATAGCAAAATACAATAAAATGAATTCAAAAAATATAAAAAATAGTAATCAAAAATAAAATAATTTACAGTAATATACAACAAAATAAAAAAACAAAAACGCTATAAAATAAAATAAAATATAATACAACAAAATAAAATTAAAAGAAATAAAATAATTAAAAAAAAAAATAAAATAAAAAATTTAAAAGTGTAAATAAACAAGAATTAAATAAAATATAATAAAATAAAAAAACAAAAAGGCAATAAAGTAAAATAAAATAAAATACAACAAAATAAAATTAAAAGAAATAAAATAATTTTAAACAAAATATGCTAAAATTGAAGAAAATAAAACAAAATATGGTAAAATGAAGAAAAGCAAAACAAAATAAAATAAAATATATAAAAGAGTAAATAAACAAAAATAAAATAAAATAGGTAAAGTAAAATACTATATAAAAATAAATAAGATAATTTGATACAAAATATAACAATATTATAAAAAAAGAAATAAATTGAAATAAAACAAAATATGGTAAATTGAAATAAAGTAAAACAAAGTAAAAGAGAAAAATTTAAAAGTATAAATAAACAAAAATAAATGAAGCTATTTAATGCAACACCCAACAAAACTAAAAAAACCGAGTCGAAAAAAAAAATAATATACAATAAAATGAATTTAAAAAAAAAATGATAAAAAAAATTAAGAAAAATTAAATACAATAAAATTAAATGAATTTAAATAAAATAAAATTAAGTAAAATAAAAGATGTTAAAGAAATAAAATAAAAGAATATAAAACAGAGTGAAATAAAATAAGCTGCAAAGATTAATTGAAATAAAATAAAGTATTGTAAAATGAAATAAAATTAAGTGAAATAAATTACAAATTCCAATCACTAAAAATTAAGTATTTTTCAATGACATAACTATTCGATAATCCGACTGTTTATTACAAAAAGAATAATAGTTATTTGTGTTTTTTAATTAAGCTTTAGTGGATTGTAGTCAAAATATAACACTGTTTACCCCTACACTAACAAAAATCGATAGTATATACGTTAAAGTTTTTTTTTCAAATATTTGCAAATGTATTTTTATACATTTGTATTGGTGGTAAATTACCTTAAAACATTTACTCACCGTTTATGTATATAAATTTTGAATTCATGCATATCGAATAAATGCTGATTGGTAAAGGCAACTGACTCAGTTGAATTCTACAAAGACAACAGTAATAAGTCGACTGTCAATATAAACGGAGCGTTTTCGTAGCAGTTTAGTAAAATAGAGTGAATATTTTGATAAGAAACCAAAGTGACAAAGATAAATTCTTTTCTCTATTTTAAGCAATAAAATACTAAATAATAATGGGTAAGGCACAAATATTTTCGAAAGCTAAATAAAAAAAAATTTAAAAAATTATATTTAAAATGAAAATAATGCATATATACATATGTGTGCACTGTTTGTGAGCGTTTCTCTTGGCTTATTAAAAAACAGTGGGTTTTATGTTTGTGTGCATGGTGAATGAAATTTTATTTAGAAAAAAAAAAAATTTAAAAGCAACAAAATTTAATTATATCAATGAAAATAAATATATTTGCATCAGAAAAATTTTTCTTTGTTAATATTCAATATTTTCAGCGTTGATTAAGCAAATATAATTTTATGATAGAAATATTCACTACTGAGTGATTTGATGATAAGGAGTTTATCTATAGCTGCGTTCATTTATTTATGTACAAAAAAAAACATTAAAAACAGTGTAATCTATTTACATATGCTTATGTATGCACATACAATTAAATAAATATTGGCAAAATAAAAAAGCTTCATTTAATATTAAATTATAAATGCATACTTTTAGGCGCTACAACTTCAATACAACCCGGTGCTGTTTTTCAACACGGTAAATTGTGCTTTGCTTTCAATAGAATGCAATTTAGTTTCAACTTACAGATATACATATATATATATATATATATATGCGTATCAATTTAGGAATGAATCACATTTTTGGTTTTCAAAAACTCGCATTCTCAAAGCGACTAAATTGCTCATTTTTGTCATTCGTAAATGTTTTCGCCACTGTGTACGCATATATGAGTTTAAAAAACACTCTACACAATATTATTAATTTTCTATTTTTTTTTTTAATTTTTTCCTTGAAAAATCCTTTGACATAACACACATTTAACAGTATTTAGTATTAATTTAATTAAATCATTTCTTTGCTTTTAATACAAACTTGTCAAATGTTATTTAACTCATCTAAAAAACAAATATCTAACATTTTGCACTTCTCTTCTTCATTCCAGAAAACTGGGTTCATTCGTCACCCTATCAACCGATTCCGCCATTTGCCGTTATTGGTGGACACGACTGTGACGGCACTCCCATCTATGTGGGTCGCTCATTTCACGAAGGCGATAATTTACCCGCTAAAGTAGTACCGAGCAAGGGTACTGCCTACGTCTGCTGGGGTGGCCAGGAAATCACAAAATCACACTATGAAATATTGGTGGGTCAAGGTTATGTTTGGACGACATGTTATGGTGGTTCAGTACCACCGAACGCTGTACGCAGTGGAACCACACGCAACGGTGAACCATTGTATATTGGACGCGGTCATCATGCGAACAGCTTGACAGTTGGTAAAATTCATCCATCCCACGGTTGTTTGTACATACCGTTTGGTGGGCAAGAGGTACGTTTGAGCTCATACGAAGTTCTCACCAAACAAGCCACCGATCATTGGGTGCATACAAGTCCGAATTTTGCACCACCCAATGCCGTTGTAGCTGGTTACGATACGGATCGTGCGCCCATATATGTGGCACGCGCCATGCATCAAGGTGAGATGATGCCAGCTAAATTTGTACCCAACAAAGGTAATGCATACGTCTGTTGTGGCGGTTATGAGATCAATAAGCCCTCTTTCGAAGTACTCACCGGCTACGGTTACAGCTGGGTGCATGTATATAATCATGCTATACCGCCCAATGCTGTGTTCAGCGGCGTGGGACGCAATGGTGAGCGTTTGTTTATCGGACGTGGGCATTATCAGGGTAGTTTGACGCCGGGCGTAGTTTCATCATTGCAACGCTGCCTCTTTATACCGTATGGTGGTCGAGAAATACGTGTTGACGCCTATGAGGTGCTCTGTCGCCAATAGAATTTACTGCTGTGCCATTAAATCGATCAATTTTGTATTGAAATGAAAAGAAATAAATTTTATGATTGAATTAAAAATTTGTTAATACTTCAAAGCGAATCGAATAATTTTTCAAATGCCTTGCGGACGTATGCACCCTTTTGTTAAACAAAAATATTTTATTCTTTAAGTTACTCATTCTTACATAGACTCTACATATGTGTGTACATATTTTGCCTTTTTGTCAAACTCTAGACTATAAATGGGTGCATTCGTCCGCATACGCTTCGATGCCGCCAAACGCCGTACTGGGCGGTAATGACTTTGATGGCGACACCATTTACGTCGGTCGTGCGTTTCACAACGGCGACACACTCGTGGCAAAGGTGGTGCCTAAGAAACAAATCGCTTTCGTCTCCTGGCGTGGGGAGGCCATACCAAAGGATCATTTTGAAGTACTTTGCGGCACAAATCTTACCTGGCGTCAATGTTATGATCATGTCATACCTGAGAACGCTGTTGTCTGCGGTAAAACGGCGTTGGGTCAACCCGTTTACATTGGGCGTGGTCACTATGAAGGCAGTTTGAGTGTTGGTAAAATTTCGTCGGTGCATCGTGCGCTATTTATACCCTTTAAAAATGCAGAACGCCGCCTGGAATCCTATGAAATATTGATCGAGCAGAAACGTAGCGAAGGTTGGGCCGTCGAAGAATTGGCGCCGCCACCGCCGCCACTACAAGTAGACGTAAAGCCGCCTTACCCAGTGCCACCAATTGAGGACGTGAAACCATATGCCCCACCCGCAGATGTCAAGCCACCATTGGGACCACCACCACAAATGCTCATGCCAATGCCAACACCACCGCCGCCACCAGGACCACCGTCACGACCAGCATTCTCAACTGATCCCTACAGTCCACATGCTCCCTCTCCACCACATTTCGATCCACCACCACCATATCATTCAATTGGCGTACCTGTTTATCCACCGATCACACCGGCACACACCTATGTACCACCTGTAGAGCCACAACCAGCTGACACGTGGGTCGTTTCAAGCGCCAACTATACGCCACCCAATGCTGTACACGCCGGGCACGACACTGATCTCTCGCCGATTGTTGTCTGCCGTTGCTTCCACAATGGTGATTTAATACCAGGCAAGGCTATACCAAGTCGTGCTTGTGCTTATATCTCATACTCGGGTCAAGAGATTCCAAAAACAGATTTTGAGATTCTCATCGGTGAGGGTTACCATTGGGTACCGGCATCGAATGGTGCGGTGGCATCGGGTGCCATCGAAGCTGGTCGTACTAGAGATGGCGAGACTTTGTACATTGGTAGAGCTCATTATTGTGGTAGTCTAACACCAGGTAAAATTCAACCTTCGCATGGTGCGCTCTATATCGCTTTCGGTGGCTGCGAGCGTCGCATTACGAACTATGAAGTACTTGTACGCCGCAATGATTTCTACCGAGATGAAGCTATGAAGATTTGCTATTGAATTGTGTAATGTACTTAAAGCTAATGAACTATTTATGTATTTAGCTATCCATCGTATGTATATTTTAGCGGATCTGGCGACCGCCGTGTCGCTCCAATATTACGCCTTCAGATAAACTCCACAGTGATAATAAAATACAGCGAGTTAAAACTTTATGGTGATTTATTTGAAAGGGATCTCTCCCGATGGACCTCCAAGTACTCTTGTGGTTGCACCTCCGAGCAACTTGGAATATTTGGCGTATCAATCAGCTGAAGTCCGGACACTCGGTCAAAGGTAATGTTCCTGCGTTTCGTGTTGCTCTGTGCAAGCTTTACACTACAATATTTCAACGCTAGCCATTCCATTCCCTCTTCCATTATCTGCTGCTGTCGTGTGGCCCTACTGATATTCACCGTGTTTTCTATTGAAAGTCTGTTTTTTGCCTCTTTGATGTTCTCACACATTTATTCCTTCTTTTTTGCTGTTTGGTGCCAATTGGAGATATCAAGTGCAGCAAGTTCCTTTTCCAACTGTTTTTACTCTGCTTTCATCGGCGGGCACTAGATTGAAAACAAAATATGGAATATTCTTACTCATCCGGACCTCATGATCTAGCCAACGTAGCCGCTGTCTCTTGATTCGCTGAACTACGTTTACATATGTCGTACAGTTCTGTCCATCGCCTGAGAACCATAAATCTTAGGCAAAATCTTACTCTCGAAAACTCCTAACGCCGACTCATCAGATGTTGTTATCGTCCATGCTTCCGCAACATATAGCAGGACGGGAACAATGAGGGATTTGTAAAGTTTGGTTTTTCGTTCGTCGAGACTTTTCAATTACCTACTCAGTCTAAAGCAGCAAGAGGGATTCTGCGCTGGATTTCAAAGCTGACAGAGTTGTTGATGTTAATGCTGGTTCCAAGATAGATGTACAATAGTTATCTGCGACTTCAAAATTATGTCAGTCAACAATGACGTGCGAGCCGAGTCGTGAAGGCGATTACTGCTTCTGGACAGGAGATATTTCGTCTTGTCCTCGTTCATTATCAGACTTATATTCTTTGCTTCCTTATCCTGTCTGTAGAATGCAGAACTCATGACACCATTTTTCAGGCCGATGATGTCAATATCATTGGCGTACGCCAGCAGCTGTGTACTCTTTAAGAAAATTGTATCTTCTCTATTCAGCTCTGTCGCTCTTAATATTTTCTCCAGCAATAAGTTAAAAAGTCACACTAAAAGGAATCACCCTGTCTGAAACCTTGTTTAATATCGAACGGCTCGAAGTGATCCTTCCATATCCTGACGGAGCTTTAAGTGTTGTGTTAGAATTATTAAAACCTAAAATAAAAATGGTGATTTCAACGTGGCCACGTTTCGTGCATTAAAAGGAGATTACCATGCACATAATCGTCCAACTACTCAAGCAATTTTAAAGAATTTTGAAGAGACTGAATCGGTTACAGATGATGTTAGGCTTTTACATCTTCGTATTCTTCGATCCCACTCAAATATCAGTACTGTAAGTGAAACTGTATCCGATGACCCGAAAGTGTCCATGTTTCGCCTCACTCAAAGCTTGGAAATTCGAACGGCCCATTTTGGCATATTGAGCACTCGAACTTACATCAACAGCCATATAAAGCCCAGCTTCACACATCCACTGAAGCCAACTGAACATTCACAGCGCCGTACATACGTCAATTGGGAGTTTGAACGACAAGCAGTGGACAGCGATTTTTAATAAAATTTTCGACAGCTACGTGGCACATTTCTCAATCGGGCGATACTTAAATCGGCAAAATTGTCGCATTTAGGACTTCGATAATTCTCAAATAACTCAAGTTGTGCCATTAGACCCAAAAAAAAAATTAAAAAAAAACGGGTGGTCTGATGCGCTCCGGAGGTGTGATTAGACTGTTATTGCCTCTTCGGAGCGTTATGGTCGCATGATAACCGTTAGCCTTTTTTTGTGGCCGTCTTTATGCGGACAAATCTTTAATTCTTGAGCACTTGAAAATGAACATTCGCCTAGTTATAACTGAGTCACCGCCCAATATGCACCAAAAGGTGGGCGAAAATTAGCTCAAACTGATCGAAGTTAGCAAATATTTCGCGAGTCGGCCATTAAAAGAAAATCAACCTGAGTACCGAATTTGAAGTAAATCGAACCATAATTATGATAGGTCAGTCGCTGGTGCACTTCTCGAAACAAATTTTTCCTTATAAGCCTTTCCAAAAATTATGGAAATAAGTCGATGAATTTTCAAGTCTATCGGTCGGTACTTTTGGAGATTTGCAGATCTTCATAAACGAACATTAGATCTTTGTATACATAAATATGTACATGGATGTATATAGACTAGCCTCCCCTGTCGCACATACTCATTGAAAGTATGAAATATTAATAATAGGATACTTTTTTATCATGACTTTATTTACTCAACTCTTGGGGTTTACAAAATTTGAGGTTTCACCATGGGCATTGGTCCACTTCCCGCACTGAGGAATAGTCTCACTTTTGAATAGGCAAGTCCTCGAATCACTTCTCGGAGAGAAGAGCCACCTTTGTACCGTACTTCAAGTAAGCGGAACCATAAATTTTTTCAGTCAGTCTCGGGCCCACTTCCCAACGAGAAGTACCGAATTTCAAGTGGCTCGATCCATGAGTAAGTTTTTTTTTCGAACCTAAAATTTAAGTCGGTAAAAGCCGTTGCGAAGGCCAAAAACAAAATATTCAAGTGAGTTTTTCAAAATCCTTTGATGATTTTATTACTGGGTGTATGTACTTCTAGAAAATATTAGCAAAATCGAGATTTAACACTAAAAAGACAATCAAGCAGAGTTTCTTTGCTTCCTTATTATAATTTTCCACACGTTACATCTCACTTCGCACTTTAACGATGGAAACGTACCCGGGCTGGGCTATCATTCAGCCGGATTATGAGTCTCACCTATAATTTCGATTCCCAAAAGCTCGAAGCAAAGGACAACACGAATAGTTCTATGTTGCACATTTAATATTCTATTATTTGAATATTCTATTGGAAGCGTTTGCACGTCAGCAGTATACTTATATCTACTCCTATTGGGAGCGTTTGCACGACACACCATATACTCTTTCTACGACAGCACAAACAAAAGTGTCCTATCACTGCTGATGCTGCTGCTTTTATACTAAGTTTTGCCAGTAGGCGGACAGTTATGCACTGCTTTTGTTGGTAGGCCTATCGCCTGTTCTTCTTTGCCCTACTTAACAGCAACGGCTCGCTATGCTGCCTAGCTTAAATCGTATATCGTATACATATGAAATCTAATTTAATTATTTTTGTATATATGTAATTATGTATATATATGTTTGTATAACATCTCTTTAGTTGTTGTTGGACTTGGGGGTCTTCACGGGATATTCGTCGCTTTTGATTTGTGATATTTGCTCATATCTTTGGTCTCGGTTACCGCTAGATTGTCGGGCTGTCTCAAAGAAAGTCAAAAACGTGTTATAAAGTTGAAAACAATAATATAGTTAGCTGTCATAAACAAATTTTATTTGATTTGCGTATGATAAGGCGTGAGTTGGCGTATTTCCTCCAGGCCAATGAATGCAATGGATGGCATTAGCGAGACTACACTAAGCAGCAATCAATTTGTTTTTTGATTTCGTTTTCAATAGAAGAACCGTTAATAGTAGTTAAATTTAGAAAACGACGCAAATTCACCTGACGCCCTGCGACTTCTCCGTTCGCTAACTCAAATGAGAATTGGGAAATTTTGATGAAATTTGCTTCACACATTCCTTGGTTTAGTAAGACTCAAGTGGTGGCCGTTCGGAGGCGGCTTAGTATAAACTGTAGGTCCTTCCAATTGTTGGAGAAATATCAAGTCGTAAAACCACAAACTGGAGGACGAGCTCGGCCGAGAGTCACTTGAGCGGTTACAAAGCTCCAATGTATTTTTAATTATTATTATTAAGTAGAGTAGAAAGTAATCCATTATTTTTGAAAAGCTGGCTTTCGTGATCTGTATTTCGCATTCTATAAGCTTACGTTACATTACGCTTAAGTTACGCTTGATGTAAAAAATTCTACATGGTGTGGAAGGCCAATTGTCGCAAATATCGATAAAATAATGGGAATCGTCGAGCCTGAGCGTCATGTGAGCATTACTTCGATTGTCCGGTACCTAAACCCTGTACAAACAACAGTGGTTGCATACTTGAAAAAGGCTGGAAGTTCGATGTATCATGAGTTAAGAAGAAATAAAGCTTCATGGCCCGACTTTCCATACGCGAATCGCTGCTTTATTGTAACAAAATCGATCCATTTCTGAGGCGCATGGTGACTAGTGAAGGAAAGCGTATCACTCATAGTAAGGTCAAGCGAAAACGATTGCAATCGAAGAGCAATGAGCCGGCACAAACAGTTTCCAAGACAGGTTTTGTTGTCTGTTTGATGGGATTGGTAAGGAATTATATCGGACATGTACTGTTAGCAATTGGAATTGGTCTGAAGGGAATAATCGCGCAGAAACGCTCAGTTTTCGTAAACAGGAAGGAAGTGGCGTTTCATTAGTACAACGCCAGACCGCAAACATCCCTAATGGCTCGCAAAAAGCTCCGAAAGCTTCGTTGGGAGATTTTTAGAAATACACCTTATAGTCCGAAATTCATACCAAGTGATCGCCATCTGTTCCTGTCTATGGCGGTTGATTTGGCTGGTAAAAAATTGAAGCCTGTCAAAATTTATTGTTCCATTTTTAAGTGAGGCAAAAAGTTATCGGAAAATTGGTGCATATTTGACAACGATAATATTAATCGGATAGTTCAAAGGGTTAAGGCATTTATCGGAGACTAAAGTTATTTCTAACTTTAACTAGAGATCCACAAATAGAGATCCACAAATTTTATCGAAAAATCAACTTAACTGATGAGGCCCATTACTACCTCGATGGTTAAGTCAATAAGCTACACTGTTGCATATGGGGCTCGGAAAACCCAAGTTTTATTGTTGAAAAGTCCTCTAACCTCCAGGTGTAACTGAGTGGTGCGGTTTTTGGTCCGGTAGTATGTTTAGATCTTACTTTCTTGGAAAATAAGGCTGGAGCATCAGTAACGGTGAGATCTTCGAGAGATGATTAATGATTTTTTACGATCTGAATTAGATGGAATGGATCTGAACCTTGTTTACTTTCAACAAGACGGCACCACGTGCCACACAAGCAACGATACCATCGAGCTTTTGAGGAAAACGTTATCTCTCGAAGAGGCGATCGCGATTGATCATCGAGTTCATGTGATTTAATAGCTTGCAAGTTTCTCCTTGGGCGCCACGTGAAAAATAGAGTCCTTGCCAGTAGGCCAATTTACGCTATCGGGGGCATATAGCAGCCAATTTGCGATTTGGTTATGGAAAATTTCCTAAAAAAAGAATACGGTTCTGTAAGCTGATATTGGGCTCCATTGTTAATGGCATATCTTCTTCTGTAAATTGAAATAAACATCCGATCATTTATGTCAAAAAATCTGATTATGAAAATATATTTATAAGCGAATTTCATGATTTTTTTTTTCGTTTCTTCATTTTTGTGACTTCAATGTAAGTCTTTGGTCAGTAATTGTAAATCAAATCCATGGAAGCCATGGAAAAGGGGCCATCAGACTTCATTATCCCACCTTTTTTTATTCTCTAAAGAACCTCATTACAGCCATGACTTTAACGTTGACTGCCATCGTTAGACCATCTAGGAATAGTGTGCCAAACTTCCGGAATTCAGCCTTATAAGAGATCAGTGATCGTTTGAACTCCTCAACCTCCTTACAGTTTATGCAGCATCTTCTATAGGGTGCCCCTTGTCTTTCCCACCAGACAGCGGCCTGCCAGTACTTCAATACCAATTAGAGTAAAAATTGAACAAAGTACAACATCGTGTGAGTTAGTAACACATTTTTAATAGAAAATCGTGAGTACTTAAGAGAGTATTTTCCAAAACGAATTCTGCTCTTTCGTAAGCACTATACATCTTCTCTTTCTCTCGCACGTTTGAGTAAAGTAATTAATATAAGGATGAAAACCATCAGAGATTTTATAGCATGGTGTAGCGCCAGCGTTAAAATCCCCGACTACTTGTATCACAAGGGACCTAGTAATTTTCTAATTTCGTTTTATCTAATCATATACAAATGTACGTATGTATATATTGATATACCCCCATATAATAGAAATACATTGTTTTGTTTTTAATAAATTTCAGTGATAAGTATTTTTATAGGCGAAATTTATTTGTGTAATATTTCGAAAAAAACAAGAAGGAGGTGCTGTCTACGGCCATGGCGAAGTATTTCATTAAGTTTTGAAATTAATGTGAAATGCGAAATTCGATTTCGTTGATTTTCCGGGTTAATATTAGAATATCAAATTTTAAGCTTTTTGACGAATTTTCGTACCAAAATCTCATATCTGAGCAAGTCGGTTGTATGGGCGCTATCACTTACATAGCAACAGTCCTCTGATTTCGGCTCTCAATATCCGATTTTTTTGTTTTTGAATATATGTGTGTAGAATACCAAATCTAACGCCTTTTGATGATATTCTTCTTCTGATCTGAGCAAGTTGGTCGTATGGTCGCTATATGTTATAGTCGTCCGTATCGTAGTTTCATACTCTTGGATACACTTTTGAGGAAATATTGATCCAAAAAAATGAAAATAATCGAATATCTGAAAAATCGGTTGGATGGGTTATAGTGATTCGATGTATTCGTGTTGGAAGTTTTCATACAAATAGACAGATCGATAGACAGATGGACAGACAGACAGACATTCTGACGCAATCGGTATATATGTATCTACTATCTCTTCTCCTTCCGGCACTTACATGCTTCGGATCAATGTTAATATACTCGTACCACTTCATCGTGCACCATGAATGGTATAAAAAAGGGAAACGATAAACCGACACTTAACGGTAACAAACAATATTTATAAATATATGTCAATTTAATATGACTGTTGTTGTTGTTGTTGTTGTTGTTGTTGTTGTTGTTGTTGTTGTTGTTTTCAACGTCTCTCAAAAGATCAGTATAATAAGCGCTGCATTGCTTGCCAATATTTCATTCAGTTGACGCCGATTGAGGACTCTAGTGGTGTTCGTGAGCTTGCGATGATTGCGCACTTTGGCGGAAGAGAAGGCTAATTGTAGGCGAAATTTAAAAAAAAAAATTTTTTCAAGTTTTCATGCACCTACGGTTGATAAGATTATACTATTGTGCGATATTCGCTGCTCCTGTGCTTATCTCAAAGTAACATCTCGCGTTAAAAACTGTTAAGCATCGAGATTACTGTTAGCGTTCTGGCGGATTTAGTTATAAATCAGTGTTGTTGTTGTTGTTGTTGTTTTCTATGTTAAAATGAGCTGATATAATTCATTATTCCACCACGTTTCCAAAGTGTTTACAATCAAAATTACAAATAGTAGTAAGCGTTGTGCAGGAATTACATTTTCAAGTGTTTACGCTCTGACAAGTGGCGTATGTAAAATTTTGTAAAAAGATTAAATTAAATCCAGTGATAAGAATATACTATATAAAATATTACAACTTAATACAATAAAACATAATTAAACCTGTTTTAATTTATAAAATTCAATAAATGAAATAAAAATAATTATAGAAATTAATTTTCATACATACCTACATATGTATATGGTGACGCTGAATATTCAATAAATTTTAAATTAAGTTTTATAAAATTCAATTTTAAGAAAAATTTTGGCTGGAAAAATGTTTATGTAGAATTGTGAAATTGCTTGGATTTTATGAAATTTTATGAATCTTTTCTTCCTTCCGTAAACAATTTTCATGCTTTCAAAAATGGGCTCATTGAAGTCCTAATGAAATTCCCAGTGTTAAAAATCTTGTATAAAACTAATAAAATTATTTTGATTTTTATTTTGCTCAAATTTCATAATCGCCAGTGATTTGATTCCACTAAATAGAAATAAAAATTTTCCCGGTATAGCATGAAGATCCGATATATGAGACATACGCATAAATTTATATGTGGGAAACTTTTGTTATAACAAAATAAATAATATAAAAAATCAATTAACAATTTTATTAGGAGAATTTTCTAATTTCATATGAAAAAAATATAAATAATTATTTTAAGGCAGTTTTATACAAAAATATTGTTTTTGGTAAATAAAACAAAAAATAAATTAACAACAACTAAACACTACACAAAGTTTTATGGAAATTAAATTCTAAGGATATACATAAATGTATATACATACGAGTATATTGGTCTAGTAAAAAGTAATCCATTGTTATTACATAAAATTGTAGGTTTTATTTACCATCGTTAAAATTATCCGATTTATGTGAAATATGCACCATTTTGCTCGAAAGCTCTCTGCCATTTTGAAGGTAATTTAATTAAGCCTCTCTCATAGAAACCCTTTGGGACACTCGATTTTCACAAGCTGCTCTTAAGACCAATTCTTCACCAGCCAAATCATTCACCATAGACAGGAAGACTATAAGGTGGATGCATAAAAATTTCCCAACCAAGCTCTCGGAGCTTCTGACACTATCGAAGTGTGTCGTCTGGTGTTATTCTGATAAAACACAACTCTCCTGTTGGTCAAAGCTCAACACTTCTGGGCGACTACTTCCTTCCAATTGCTGGCAGTAAAGGTCAGTAGCGGGGTACCTCATAGTGCATGATGCCTTGCAAATCATGCCAAATACACAAGAAAGCCTTCCTGACAGTTAATCCTCGCTTGAAAACCGTTAACGTTATCTCAGAGATACCGGAACGATATTGACGAAACCAAAACTGTGCATAATTGACTGTTACAGTATCAGGACCAAAAACTTGGCTAGCTTTTGGTTAGCTTTGCGGCTCTCCAACTGGAAAATATTGCACTATTCCGTTGGCTTGAAGGCCTGAGTTCCAATTCAATGTAATAGATTCCGGCGCTTGCTTCGATAGCCATTTTTTCATCTATCCGTGTAAATTCTGGTCAAGAATGGGTAGTCTAGTATATTGCTTCTACCCTTTCTTTCTTCAAATGATTTCAACACTCTTTTCAGACAAATATGACAGTGGGAATCATCCCGAGAAATCCCAAGCTTTATCGCATGAATTCCCATTGGACTTTAACTAAGTACGAGAGATTTGTTCTAAGGTTGGAAAAAGTTGCGCTGACTTTAAGTGGCATCCATGAAATGGTTTAAGTGATTCCACTGTATACCGGTACCCATATGATATCAATATTGAAATAAGTCGGCGCCATAGACGCCCTGAGTGAGTTCAAGGCTGTAACAACCGATTGGCCATCTGAGTAAATTTTAGTCGGTCTCACTGAAACCACCTTCCGAAATAGCATTGTCTACCCTCTCTCTCGTAACAACATTCCTCGCCTGAAGACATGGCATTGGCCGGGAAACTTGAACGCTCAGCGAATGGATAATTATTGATAGAATACCAACCTTTTCGTCAAACTTCAAGCTTTTTCGTAGATAATGTATAAGCTACAGTGATCCGATATACCTGCGTCCGATAACTGATCGCTAAAATGTAACAGACATGCTAAAGGCAGTTGTCCTCTTTAGAAACCGAAAAAAACGTTTCTTAAGCAGTTTGTTTGAAGAGGATGGAAATTATTACGGTAAACGAAATTTTCAGACAAAAATGTGCTTTCTTACAGTTGAAAAACACAATTTTTAGTCTAAAAAGATATTGGAATTTTCCAATGTTGTGCTGAGTTCTCCGAAGCGGCTACAGTGTGAACTCGTAAAATGGTGCCGGTGTTGGAGGTCGCGCCATGCATACGAGTGTGAAATAGTCAAACCAAAATTTGATTTTTTTTAAATTTTTCTGAGTGTTTCTCTTATATGAACTAAAAAATATCGAAGAGCATAAAAAATTTTAATATTTTCCCATATTAAAAAAAAACAATTATTGAAAAAAAAAAATCACTTCAAGTTGCAAAAAAAAAAAAAAGTTCAATTAGAAGATAATTTAATACTGAAGCTAGATCACTTTAATTTTCTTCGATCCTAAGACTTGTAAAAAATGAAAGCTCAAGCAATCGCGGCGCTTCGAACCCGCTGGGCCACTGAAACTGCTCTTGCATCGAAAATATGTCGAATTAGCCACTGAAATTTCGAAAACATATGCTTCGATAGTTTTAGAATAGTTCCAAGAAAAGAAGCATTTTTTAAAGCCTCTAAAGCCTCTGATGCGGTCTATCTCTTCTCCTTCTGATATTTACTTACTTTGGCCCATAGTTGATACACATTGTACGCAAGAGGCATACAAAAAAAAAATAATAATAAATTATAATAAATATAAAACTTTATAATACAGAATTGCTTTGCCTACAAACATTTAACAATATTTTTCTCGTCTTCTTATTTACAACTTTGGCTCTGCGTCTGCGTTTATTCAGCAAATCTTTTGTCATATGCGTTATTAGAACATAAATGAGTGAAACTGCTATTATATATATATATTTTATTGGACTTTTAATAACACCAAATATACACTTTTATACTTATGCGAATATCCATACATATATACATAGGTATATACACGTATATACGCCTTTTGGAATACTGTTATCGCCCAGTTCAAGCAATTAAATAATTTCTTACACGTAACAACGTTGAAATTTTATGAGTCTATTGACACTTGTAATTTAACTGTACCATATGTATGTACATACATTTTTATATATATTATATACCATAAACAAACAATTGAATTGCTTAGATGTGTTGGTATATTAATAGATTGTAATTTATCTTGTTTAAAAATCATCGCACCGAACACAATATTTGTCTAGCTAAATTATGCTTAATTTAAAAAAAAAATATATATATATATTCATACGAATACACTTACATACATTTGTATTCATAAGCACCTTTATTGAAAAGTAAAAGAAAAAAATTATAAATTAATAAGATATTTCCTCTGCTTTCATTGCAGTTTTATTGAAATCATTTCATCAGAATAAAGCGGTACGGAAATGGTTAGCAGCAGTTACAACGTTACATTACCAGGTCATACAGAGCCACATGAGGATTTCAAAAAGTCTAATGCACGTGGATTGCCGGGTCCAAAGGAGTTTCAGACAGAACAAAAGTAAGTCGTGCAACTAAAAAGAAATATTTTTATTATCACCAATAATATGTATCAATAATCTTCTTTGTTTTTAGTGAAACAACAAAGAGTCAACAGAGAAATTATCCATATACCGAGCTGGTAGGTGTAAAGAAAAGCACTAACTGAAAAAATATTAAAAAAAACAGTAGTTGGGTTTTAGCATCTAGAGACCTTCAAGATTAACATCTAAAACGTTATGTCATTTCTAAATATGATACTAGAGAGAGTTGAGTGTATTCCTTTTCAATTCATTTATGTTAAATCTCCTCAGACTCCTTCTTCTTTATGAACCCTTATGACTGCTTGCAGTTGAGTGCAAAGTTTCATACCAGTCTTCAATTAAAAGACTAATGATTATGCTACCTTTGCACAATTAGAATATTTCGGCCATTTAAAAAATATTCACTGGGTAGGTCAGACTTTCAAAATAACTCAAAAAGACATGTTTTTGTTAAACATGCGAGTAATAGGGGCGCTATAATCCAGAGGAAATCACTTGATTCTTAAATGACTCCATTAAATAGGAAGCAACTAGAGATACATTTATCGACAGTTCTTTGAGTTTCCCGAAGCTGTTACCGGTTTGAGTTGATCCGCTTAATCCACAAACTGAATTTTACATAAACATTTTGTAAACTACAAATATTTATATTTTGTTAAACTCTTTTCAGTTTCGATATTCAACAATATGGGATCGCCTACTAATTGTATTGGGTGTGATTTCTGCATCTCTGGCTTCAATCTGTGTACCCTACAATGTGATTATCTATGCTGAGTTCACGACATTGCTCATAGATCGAGATGTTGGTACTGGCACCTCAACGCCAGCGCCGATTTTAAATATTTTCGGTGGTGGCAAGAGGCTGTAAGTGTGATTTAACTGATTATTTCAAATCTGAATATGGAAGAATTTTTATTTTTTTTATTTTTTATTATAGTGTTTATTAATTTTATCATAATTGATTTTATTTTATTTTTTTTTATTTTTTTTTTATTTTATTTTATTTTATTTTTATTTTATTTTATTTTATTTTATTTTATTTTATTTTATTTTATTTTGTGGTATTTTATTTTATTTTATTTTATTTTAATTTTTTTATATATATTTTGTTTTATTCTCATTCTCATTTATAATAATTTTTTATTTTATTTTAGTACAAATGCGAGCCGTGCGGAGAATATGCAGGCTGTAAAAGACGATGCGCTGGCATTTGCTTATGGCACGTGCACTGGGTCTCTAGTGCAGCTCTTACTGCTTGGATTGGCGGTCAATTTGTTGAACAAAGCTGCGCTCAAACAGGTGTGCATGATATTCGAAAAAATATCCATAAATATGTGATTTTAAGATGTTCTTAATATTTTCAAATAGATTGCAAAAATTCGAAAACTATTTTTGAAGGCCATACTGCGGCAGGATATGTCTTGGTATGACACTTCCTCGGGCAATACATTCGCCAATAAAATGACGGAGTAAGTTTGAAATATAAATTAACCCTAATATATGAGTACATATATTAAATATAAACTTCATCCATTTACACATACTAAATTTTTTATTCTCATTTTCGTCCGCAGAGATCTGGACAAAATGAAGGAGGGTATTGCTGAGAAAGTCGCCATGTTTGTATTCCTTATAATGACCTTCGTGGCGGGTTGCATCTTCTCCTTCATCTACGGCTGGCTTCTAACGCTGGTGGTATTCACCTGTTGTCCTTTCATCATTATATCCACCGCTTTGGTTGCCAAAATTCAAGGCACATTCACAGAGAAGGAGCTACAAGCTTACTCAAATGCTGGTGCAGTAGCGGAAGAGGTCTTCTCGGGTATACGTACCGTGTTCGCATTTAGCGGTGAACGTAAAGAGACCGAACGTTTCGCCAAGCTGTTGGTGCCAGCTGAGAAGACGGGTTGTAAGAAGGGCTTATACTCCGGTATCGGTTCGGGCATTATGTGGTTCATCATCTACGTAGCCTATGCAATAGCCACTTGGTATGGCATTCAGCTCATTTTGAAGTATCGTTATATGGATGACAAAGTGTACACAGCCGGCTCCTTGGTCGTTGTCTTATTCAGCATTATTATGGGTGCACAAAATTTGGGTTTCTCATTGCCCTATGTGGAGGCGTTCGCGACGGCAAAAGGTGCAGCCCAAAATATTTTTTCCATTATTGATCGGATTTCCGCCATTGATCCGTTGAATGAGAATGGTGCTAAATTGGAGAGTGTCACTGGGAATATAAGTTTTGAAAATTTACATTTCCGTTATCCAGCAAGATCTGATGTACAGGTATTGAAAGGTTTTTCATTGCAAGTACGTGCTGGTCAAACAGTTGCCTTGGTAGGGCCATCTGGTTGTGGCAAATCAACAACACTACAACTCCTGCAACGTTTCTACGATGCACCCCAGGGCTGTGTGCGTCTAGATGGGCGGGATTTACGTGAACTGAATGTGAGTTGGCTGCGTTCGCAGATTGGTGTGGTCGGTCAGGAGCCAGTGCTCTTCGGAACAACGATTGCCGAGAATATACGTTATGGCAAACCCTCAGCTACGCAAGAGGAAATAGAAAAGGCCGCACGCATGGCGAACTGTCATGACTTTATTGTGAAACTACCGAGCGGCTACAATACCATGGTGGGTGAACGTGGCGCACAAATGTCTGGCGGTCAAAAGCAGCGTATAGCCATTGCACGCGCGCTCATACGCAATCCAAAGATTTTACTTTTAGATGAAGCAACCTCAGCTCTTGATCCTACCTCGGAGCGCCGCGTACAGGACGCACTTGATGTAGCGAGTCAAGGACGTACCACGCTTGTAGTATCACATCGCCTCTCGACAGTGACAAATGCAGATATGATTGTCTTCGTAAAAGATGGTGTTGTAGCTGAGCAGGGTACACATGAGGAGCTCATGCGCACCGGTGGTCTATATTGTAAACTGGTAATGATATCGAAGCGCCAGGAAGAGGAAGAAGCTCTGGCAAACACCTCCAATGCGGTGCGTCAGCGTAAGCAACACTTGCAAGTGAAGAATAACTCAAGTGATGAGGGCGACTCCAGTTTTGATGAAGCAGATGCCGAGAGTGTAGTTAGCAAAAGTGAGCACAACACGAAGTACTAAATTCTCACTAATCACTTAATCTATACTCGTACTTTTTACAGAGAAATCGAAAAGGAGTAAGCCTAAAGCCGAGAAGAACAAGATTACCTTTTTGCAGTTGATGAAAATGAATGCGCCCGAATGGCGTTACATATTAACCGGCTGCATTGCGGCCATGATGCATGGAGCCACATTTCCCACATGGGCGGTGCTTTTCGGCGACTTCTTTGGTGTAAGTGAGGCTTCGCATCAATTTAATCATCACTCTTATTGATACAAATATTCATTTCTCTTACACAGGCCTTGTCCGATCCCGATGACGATTATATTACCCGACAATCGATATTACTTGCTATACTCTTCCTTGTTATCGGCGTTATAACCGGCATTGGCTCACTGCTACAAACCTACATGTTCAACACGGCAGGTGTTAAAATGACTTCTCGTCTTCGTCTTGACGCTTTCAATGCCATAATCCGACAAGAAGTCGCATACTTCGACGATCAACGCAACTCAGTGGGTGCGCTGTGTGCGCGTCTCGCTGGCGACTGTTCAAATGTACAGGGTGCAACAGGTTCACGCATTGGCATCATTGTACAGGCGATGTCCACACTTACCATCGGCGTTATACTAGCATTCACCTACTCATGGAAATTGACTTTGGTCACTTTGGTGACGTTGCCGCTGGTGTGCGCTGCCATACTCTTCGAAACACGCTTCATGGAGGCAAGTACAAATAAGGAGCGACAGGCCATTGAAGATGCTTCACGCCTGGCTGTGGAGGCAATTGCTAATATACGCACCGTAACCAGTTTGGGTCAGGAGCGATATGTGCTCGAGCGATATGACGAGCAAATAAACAGAGCAGATAAGGCTTGTCGCAAGAAGTTACGCTATCGTGGCTTAGTGTATGGGTTGGGACAGACAGCACCGTTTATGGCTTATGGTGTCTCATTGGGTTATGGTGGATTTTTAGTTGCCAACCAGGAAGTACCCTATCAGGATATAATAAAGTAAGTTTATAAAAAGTTTGAAATCCAAAAATCTTAATTCCCATATTTTCAGAGTTTCCGAAGGTCTCATTTTCGGCTCGTGGATGCTGGGTCAAGCGCTGTCATATGCGCCCAATGTAGGCGATGCCGTGCTCTCAGCGGCACGCTTATTGAAACTATTCCAACGCACACCCACGATGTACAACCCAGTGGATAAGCCGTATAACACCGCCGTGGTAAGTGAACGGTCCCACTTAGTTTATGTACTTTGTGCTAAATAATATTTGAAACGTTTACTTTTCTACGCTTAGAAATTCGAAGGCGACATCACCTATGAAAACGTCAATTTCAATTACCCCAACCGCAAGGGTATAAACATTTTGCAAAATCTCAATCTAACCATCAAAGGTGGCACTACAGTGGCACTGGTTGGGCCCTCCGGTTCAGGCAAATCCACTTGTGTACAGCTATTGCTGCGTTACTATGACCCCGTTAGAGGAGGAATTAACCTCAGCGGTGTGCCAACAACCGAGTTCCCGTTCGACACTTTACGTTCCGGCATGGGTTTGGTTTCTCAAGAGCCCGTCTTATTCGATCGTACCATTGCGGAGAATATCGCTTACGGCGATAACTTCCGCACCGATATACCGATGGCGGAAATCATCGAAGCGGCTAAAAAGTCGAACATACATCAGTTCATCACTTCATTGCCGCAGGGCTATAACACGTCTCTGGGCAGCAAAGGTGCACAACTTTCTGGCGGCCAGAAGCAACGTATTGCTATTGCACGTGCCATGGTGCGCAACCCGAAGATATTGATATTGGATGAGGCCACGTCGGCGTTGGATATGGAGAGCGAGAAAGTGGTGCAGGAAGCATTGGATACAGCGCGTAGCGGACGTACTTGCGTTACGATTGCACATCGACTCACCACAGTGCGCGATGCAGATCTGATTTGTGTGCTCAAGAAAGGTGTGGTGGTCGAGAAGGGTAGCCACGAAGAGTTGATGGCACTGAATGGAATTTATGCGGAGCTGTATATGATGCAGCAGGTGGCCTAAGCCCTGCATCTTCTCACACCAAATTGCAAAGTATTTTTGTTTTGTCGAAGAAAAATAAATGTTTAACTAAATTATCTTAATTTATATTATGTTCAAATTGAGTGACCCTCAGGCTCGGTAACATTCGGTACATTTAAACAATAATTTTTCACACAAGTATCCGTCGTCTCTGCCTCAAAGGCGGCTATCCGTCATTGCACCCGGATTGGCAAGCGCATTTTTACGTTCTTGTATGGCGCAAGTAAGCTTTCGAAAAGGTCCCAAAGGTAGGCCCAAGGACTTCAAATCAGCCTCGGTCAATAAGATCAAAGTATCCAGATCAATTTGTTGTTTCTGAAAACTGAAAGCAAGAATTATTTCGCTTAACTCCTCTCAGACCGTACTTCATTACGAATACCACTCACATTGACAAATATTCTTCCAAGCCCCAAGCGGTGAGAAAACGTGCAATTGGACTGCCGGCATTTTCCTGTTCATCCTCACTATAACCATCTGCGCCCTCGGAATCCGAATCCGATATATTGAGGAAGGAGCGCTGTTTGTTGCCACGCGTTTTCGTTGCTGTTGACGCAGCGAATTGACGTCCCGTTGTCATACTCGTATTCGCTGTGGTCGCGTCTAGACCATTTCCCATATAGTTATCGGGTTGCAATTGGCTGAGTGCAGCAGTTACTGAACGTCGAAATGCTATACTACCCAACATTGGCCGATCGAATAGTCCGGCGGGACGTTGCATGGCGAACTCATCACTCAGTCGGCCGGTGGACAATAGCGAATCGCCGAGTATGTCGGGTTGTGAGAACGACCGTGAGAGTGTACCATAACCCATTTTTGTAGTCTCACGTTCTCGATCGCTGCACGGCTCATCGACTTCGAAAACATCACTGATCTTGCCTCTCTTGCTGCTCTCCTCGTTCGAGCTGAACGTGCCCACATACAATACCTCCGAGTCGCGTTGTACGCCTATCAGCGAAGTTACCGTACGCTTGCCGTCCGGCTCAATGCCACCTATTTTGAAGCCTGTATCGTCTGTTTTGTTTAAATTCGTATTCTTATGCTGTTGGCCACGTAATTTCTTCTGTACGGTACCGGCGCGGCTCGCAATCGAGCCTACACTACCGCCACTGCCACTACCGGGGGAGACAAGCTCACTGAATTTGGTGGCCGTGCTGCCGCTGCTGATGCTCGGGCATGGTACGGCGACGGCACCTGTAGTCTCCCGCGTGGGTTTATGTAGATTCCCCTGGCTAGACCAAATTTTCTGTTTAAGCGTCGACAGCATATTGGACTTGTTGCTGTTTACTGTTGCCGTCATGGCTGGTCGGCTCGCATCAATGTGCTCACTTTCAATTTTCTGTTGACGTTTCATATATTCACGCATCCGTTTCTCGCAATTCTTTTCCGCCACTTCACGCATAGCTTTTGCTTTTTTCCTACAATACAAAGAACAAGTTTCGTTAAGTTTAGTAGAGTGGAATATCATACACATATATTGCTTTCTCAGCTTCTCACTTCTCGTTGGTCTCGAAACTCGCCGTCGCGTTATCTAAATATCTTAGGATGTCATCTCGATTGTTGATGGCAGCCAAATCCTTGGCGCTGTGCCGATCAATGTCAAGCGCATAGATATTTACACCGAATTTCACAAGGAAGTCCACGCAGTGGAGATGCCCCTTCGCGGAAGCCAAATGCAGTGCTGTGTTCCCGAACTGGTCGCATTTGTCTGGGTCACCACTGAAAGGAGAGAGGCCATTTCGAATTTCAAAATATTCGAACAAAAAAACTCTTTGTACGTTACCCTCTGCCACATAGCAAGCGTAGCGCATCCAAACGTCCCTCAAAAGCTGCCCATAATACTGGTGTCATTGAATCATCGTCCTTCGCGTTGGCGTCTTTGCGAGCAGCCTCTTTTAGCACATCCAGTAAACCGTCTTTGGCGGCTCTTGGAAAATGAAAATTTAAAACACATTGATTTATATTGAGAATAAGACGATAAAATAAAAAGATAGACACATAAGACTGCTGACCCTCAATGCGAAGATCGCGCCTAAAGTTGGATGACTACAATTATTAGTAGAATCTCTCTTTCAACCAGGCTTCGAATGGCTGTTGGATTTTTATAAGAGCCAGAAATACATTCGGATGTATGGATCTTTACTACGGGAAGGCGACCGGATTGCAAAAAAAAAAAACTTCTCATGTGTCGATCCTACCGAGATCAGAGCCCATGAACGCCGGCTCGTTATTTCTCACTGAATTTTTTTCAATTCTCCAGTTGTGCTTATACCACATTTGAACTGGTTAGCTCTGCTAAGGCTGGTCGCACACTTTTAACTGGGAAATTAGTTGTTAGATTATGACGGCAACAAATGTTTCGCGATAGACCTGGTAGATTTCTTCCGCTTTTAAAGATCACAAAACCTCCAATCGATAGGAGTCCATAAAATTTTTTTGACTTGGCAACTATATTGTCCGGATGGGTAAAGAGGGTAAGCTCCGCACAGCTGTGGAAAAATTTAGCCTCCACGATGAACCATTCACAAATGCGTAGAGGCTTATCGATTTCGCCGAGGACCGAAATGTGGTTGTTTGTAGTAAAATATTTCCGTACGTACCGCCAAGACAGTCTTCGGCAACCTTGCGATCGACAGCAACACTGCAAGATAGGATAGTTACCGAGAGCTTCCCTCTACAGCTCTCTTTACGGGAAAAAGAAGAAAGGGGCATCGAAAATTCTATGAAATGAAGATTTTAAGACTTGAGCATACTCATGCAGGAACCAAATTGGAAATCTGTTGACCGATGTTCAGAATAAACTTGGTGTGTGGAGGGAATATCTGGCCAGCGACTGAAGCCGATGGCTTACCGACTGAGCTATGTAACCCGATTTACCAGATATTCTCTGTGCGACGAATTTCAGTGAAACGAGAGCACAGTAAGCTTCTACGCCACTAAGTCTGAATTTGGTACCTCCGCCAACAACACCAGTAGCGCAATCAAAGTTGGGAAGGATCTGGATATCAAACGAGATTTCAGACAGCCTGCAGAGCTGAATAGGGAAGGTGCAATCTTCTATAAGAGTGTACAGCTGCTGGCGTATGCCAATGGCATTGCTATCGTAGGAATAAACAGACGACCCGCTAGTTCTGCCTTCTCAAAGCTCGACAAAGAAACGAAGCGAATGGGTCTGGTAGTGAACGAAGACAAACTCCTCTTCCTGTGGCAAACAAACAATTTGCTCATTTAGGACTCCGAGAATCCTGCAATAATTGAAGAGACACAATAACGACGAGACTGTCACTGTCAATTCGACTTCTTTTGGCCTGTAATTGAAGAACACGACTTGGACAATGTGTGGTTCCAACAAGATCACTTCTTTACAAAATATGGATGAAAGCATGCGCGACGATTGGAAATTAAATGTGCACTGCCCAATTCACAAAAACGGTGGTCACACAGCCTGCGCCAATTACCGTGGAATAAGCCTCCTTGACATCGCATATGAGGTCCTATCAAGCGAATTGTGTGAAATACCAAAGCCCACCTGCAACAAATTGATTGGACCTTATCAGTGTGGCTTCAGACCTGCTAAATCAACCGTTGACCAGATATTTACCATGCGACAAATTTTGAGAAAGACCCGTGAAAAGAGCAACCCACTTCGACAACACGAAAAGGATCTGCCTCTACGCCGCTATGTCTGAACTCGTAGAGCTGCAGAGCTGAATAGAGAAGAAGAAGAAGGAGAGTTTTCAGCTGCTGGAATACGCCGATGATATTGACATTATCGGCCTCAACAACCACGCCGTGGGCTCTGCTCCCTGCAGACTGAATAAGGAAGCGATGTAGTAGTAAACGAGAGCCAAACGAAATATTTCCTGTCATCAAAAATAACAGTCATCACATTCGCGAATTAAGTCCCACATGACTGTATTTACAGTCATAACTATGAAGTCATAGATAACTTCGTCTATCTTGGAACGAAACTAACTTGAAGCGAAGTTCAAACTCTACAATTCGCTCATTACTCCCGTTTTGCTATATGGCGCGGAGGCATGGACGATGACAACATCTGATGAGTCGGCCCTGTGAGCCTTTGAAAGAATGATAAGTTGTACGAGCTATTTGCTGATATTGACATAGATCAGCGAATGAAGAGACAGCGACTACTCTGGTGGAAAAGGAAGAGCAATACCTACACTCCTTTGGAAGCATCGGATGGAGAGTAATCTGGCTTCACTTGGTATTTCCAGCTGGCACCAAACAGTGAGAAGAAGAGATGAATGGCGCCCTAATATTGATTCGTCGTTGCCAACGCGGATACTGAAGAAGTGAATGTGTAATCGTCTATTTCTCGACATTCTTACAGCGTATTTTGCAAATGAGCTTACACTTACATCCATATAAAGTCCAGCTCACACAACAACTGAAGCCAGCTGACCATTCACAGTGCCGTACATACGTCAATTGGGAGTTTGTGTGCCCTTTGGTCCGGAGGTGAGATTGAAATTTACTTCTTTAAAATGGATGGCTGAGTCGTAAGATAACCGACGCCAAACTTTGTAATAAAAATTTTAATTATTTTAAATGGATTTTATTCAAGTTTATTTTCGAAACCCTAAAACGAATAACCCTGTACATTCGATGTGTGTATATTTATGTTGGTACATATGTTCATATCTTTCTCTTTCTATTTCTGCCGAATTGCAAAAATTTGATTATCAAAGAAGACAAGTTTTCTGACAATTGGAATTTTTCTTCATATGCTCACTTAAATATTTATATACATATATACATGCCTACCTATGTACATATATTTTTATTGCAATACTCACTTGTGGAATCGATCTGAAGACATGCTTGAGCTTTTTGTTATTGTATTTGTTGTTTTCACTTTTTTTTATATCAAAAACACGGTTGGCTTGCAATCAACCAAACAAAGATCACGTTTCACGGTTATACCAACCACCAACTCGCAGTAAATGATGGAAATTCTTTCTATGAATGTATGTATATATGTATATGCGTTTATATACTCATATGTAAATTTGTAATTTTTGTGTTCACTTCAATTGTTTGCCATTAAATGTTGCTTCCACTGACCCATTTCTATATGAGACTGCACATACATACGTACGATATACATACCTAAATGTATGCATGTAAAGCGTAATAAATTCCGTTTAAAGATCGATTTTAATTTATTTTTGATTTAAATATATTCAACAGATATACATACATACATACATTTTTTGCACTCATAAACATTTATTTACAAAAATATAATATGTATGTACATACATTCTTCTGTACTAGTATGTACACATATATGTTTGTATGTACATATGTATGTACAATACTATGTACGTACCACATCATACGAAAATGAAATGAGACGTGAGGCGCGCGGCATTAAAATTTTTGCTTTAAAGTTCACTCAACTCTTGGGGAGTGTAACAATTTTGTTTCAACATCAGTACATGCATACATACATAAATACATACGTACGTATGTATATCTAACCAACATTTATGAGCATAAATATATATGTACATATAAACAACAATTTTGATAGACATTTTATACATTTTTTTAGTCGTTACGACGAAAAATTCCTACGAATATACATATACATTACACATACATACATACATGCATGAAAATGTTAATTTGTATAATGCCAAACAAATAAAAAAATGTTATAATTACCACAATGGCAACATCAAGCATTGGCAATGATCACAAAATAAATTAGCGGCCAAAAAAATATTTGGTCAAAAACATGTACAATTGTTTGTATGTATGTAGGTATGTATGTACATATATAGACACATATGTTTGTTTATAAAATAAAAGCCAAAAACGTTTCACAAAACTACTGCAGAGCAGCGATGTTGCCGTACATATGTAAGTATATATATGTACATGTATATATCTGTATACACAGCTGCAACTTTTTCTACACGCGACGCAAGCGCCTTCCCTTCAAACGACTTTTCCTGCCATTTCCACTTGATTGCAATTATAACTAACCGTTTGCGCGATCATCGGTTTTAGCGACGTTGTTAACGCGTTGTGTAGCACAAAGAGACTGTTGTAACTCCAGTTTGCTGTAAGCTATTTGGTTGCTTTGTTAACTGGCTTTCAGAGTTGAAGTTTGGCGCGCCATGGTAATAAGAGTTTGTTCATCTCTCTCTCCCCAAGTGGTTCTGTTGAGCGCTTTTGTGAGCTTCCAATAGTTTTGTAGTTGAGAGTCGGAGAGGTAAATGATAATATTGACTCTTAGGGAGCCCCGTCAATAAAATAGACGAGAAATCGTAAGAAAATTCGAAAGAAAGCATTTCAAAAGTTTCATTTCACTTCTCCCAACTAATTAATTATAAGATTCGAGAATCCTTGAATTTTGAAAACACTTGAAAAGTGGAAAAACGGAAACGAAACATGCCTAAAATCGAAAATTCCGCCCAAGTTATTGCGGTTCATAAAAAATCCGACTAAAATACAAGCAACCGAGTGGTTAATTCTGCGTGCTACCGTACCACAGATCGTGGGTTCGAATCCTAGCTAGAATACCAAATCCGAAATAAAAACCCCTCATGAAAGTCCAGTCCAGAAACTGAAGATACCTTAACTTGGTGAAAAAATATTAAGCCACACACCACAAGTAGAGAATCACCAAGCTTTAGCCAGCTACCGAAGAGTCAAGATTCTCTTTGAGGGCTTGATGCTTTGAGACAAATGCTTTTTCATAATTTTTACATAGATTTTGGTGTAGGCAAGCTCGAGTTATGGCTTTGTAAAGAGAATAATCTGAAACTTGGGTTGTCCCTACATTTATGCGTTCTAATATTTGCTGCACTTATTGTTTTCAACTCCCGCGCTAGTAAAGTGGTTAGTAGTGCGTGCTCTTGGAAAAGCGAGGTGCACAAGATATAAAAGACTATAAATAAAACTTATGTATCAGCATTCACGTTAAATTCCATATAATATTGTGCACATTAATCCGGTCCTTTCAATACAATTAAGGTTTTCTTATGTGCACAAGCTAAGGGTTAAGACAGAGTTGCAGAGTAAGTTATTAATAAACTTTGACATAGAATTTGATGTGCTTAATTAAAAATTATAGAACACAATTTCGTGTACATTAAAAGTGAATTCATTCAATTTCTATATTTTTGTAATAATTTTCCTTGACATTTTGCACTAAAACAAAATTCTTGGTACTCATATATAGTACAACGGAATGCAACACTGCGCGTTCGGGGGGGTAATGTCAAAATTTGAAGTGAAGAAACTCAAAAGAAAACACAGATAAATTAAAGTACATAAATAAGTATTTTCACTCACTGATGCTGCTGTTTTGTACTTTCGGGGAGGAGTAACAATAAGCGCCAATAATACCAATAATAATAATTATAAGCCACAGGAACAGCAGGTGGAGTAATAAATAGCAAAATAATATTTGTGTCCAGTCACCAAACAAGTTCAGGAAATTGAATGAGGTGTAAAATAAAGTGGAAGAAAGAAACTGATGAGAAGACATTGCGACAGATTGTCTGCTAAACGCGACCCTCGTCGCTTATTTGGCAACAGCTTAGAACGTCTGAGTGCCTCAACAACTTGGATTACTTTGTTACCACGGTTTCGCAAGTACCCCCCAAATGAGTCAGCTCAGCTTAGTGATCCCGTTGAACTAGCTTAATAACCTGAGGGGAAAAAAATATATCAATGCACTTGTACTTTAATAACCATCAAAAATCAGATACTGCCCGTCGTTCATTTTTACTGCCAATGTTGCACAAATATAGTATTATATTATTATAAAATCATTAAATCATCAATTGGCCTGCACCTGCGTGTTTCACTACATAATCGGCTACGGTAGGCAGTCACATTTTGACGACAAGCCTCAAGCAATTAGTTTGCTTAATTAAAAGAAAATAAAATAAATAAATTAAATCACTAGCATAGTACTGCGATGGGAAATTGTCTTCACTGCTTCCAGACATCATCAGAAATATCGGCTGCGCCGAATATTGCTTCCGCGCCCACTTATCAAAAGCCACACATTGAAGGTAAATTAATATAGTGAGCATAAATCATCATATATCGGAATGCTTTCGTACTTTATTTTTTCTGACTTTCAACAAAAAATACATATATACACATGTATACACAAAAAAAAAAGAAAATATTCATAGTTTAACATATTAAGGCTTTAACACAGCTCCAAATTTAAGTGCAAAATATTTGAGAAACTTATTTATCAAAATTCTTTTCAGAAACAGATGAATTGCTCTCGCCCAGAAGTCCACTCAAGAATGCAAACAATTGTGATACTAATCGAAGTAGTTTTAAGAAATCATTGGTTCTAATTAATGGAGATGCCGCCACAATGAGTGATATAATAACAACGGCCGTTAAAGAATCACGTGAAGTGTCCGATAATACACTGAATCAGCTATTCGAAGAATATAAAGATCCAGATGAAGATACGATACTCACTGAAGGCATTGAACGTCTCTGTCACGATCTTAAATATCAGCCCGACGAGTTCGCCATACTGGTGCTTGCCTGGTGTTTGGACGCATCGCAAATGTGTCGTTTTACCAAAACGGAATTTATTGATGGATTACACAAAATGTGCGCAGATTCTATCGAAACTGTACGTATAAGACTGGAGCAAACAATTGAAATGCTCAAAGTGGACACGGAAATGTTCAAACAACTCTACCGCTTCACATTCCGGTAAATAAATGCACAAAATAATAATAATAATAATAATAATAATCATAAATACATAAAATTTAAAAATTCTATTTTCATCAACTGTTGCAGTTTTGGTCTAGAACCTGATCAGCGGATTCTCTCCTTGGACATGGCCATCAGTCTATGGAAATTGGTATTCACGGTGCATACGCCAGAACTGCTCGGTAACTGGGTACATTTCCTCGAGCAGCACCCAAGCATACGTGGCATACCGAAAGACACATGGAATATGTTTTTAAATTTCTCCGAACAATGTGATATCAACAATTATGACGATACTGAGGCATGGCCAAGCTTATTTGATGATTTTGTCGATTATGAACGTTCCCGACTGACGCCACTTACTGGAGTTGCGGAAAGTGAGAGTGCAGCGGAGAGTAGTCATGATACAACAGGCGCCGCAATTGTCGTAGCTACAGAAAACACACAATTCGAGGAATATGTCGCAGCCGATTATGCTGACGATGACAACAATAATGATGATTACAGTAATCAAGCGCATCCACATGCATTGCATCCGCATCCATCGCAAGTAGGGAAAACAGACTCAACAGCAACAACGGGCATACGCAGCGCCAACGATGATATATTATAGTATTAGTTAGATACTTGTTCGTAGAACGACGAGTTAAATGATATAACGCAATGATTTGATACTTGTTTTAGTTTTATATTATATATATATTTAGCTAAACGAAAGTCTTAAAAAAAAAAAAAAACAAAATCAAATTGAAAAGACTTAGAATAGTTTTTCAACTGAATGAGTTTAGCCGCAAGGCATTTCGAAGACGATATTTGCATCTGCGTTCAATATTAAACGCATTGCTCATACGAAGATCTCTTTTTTACCATTTTTATTATCATTATTCTTATAAAAATAATAAATAAATGATTCATTCGCTTTGTGCTAAGTGTACAATACAAATTATTAGACTTGAATTTGAACGATAACGCTTTTCCAGTGAGCAACAAGGGTGCGTTAGTATAAGAATTTTAATTGTCTAAAATATTCTGCTACATACTTACATATGTACTAATTTTACTTATTTTTTTTTTCAAACTCCTTTTAGTTATTTTTAGTTTATGTTTAGGTCTTAGACGGAGTCTTACTTGCTTATATATCTGCCAAGGTAATGCATGCATTTGTATGTAGCATAGCAGTTATAAGAAAATTAACGTGCCTCACGTATAATTACATATATTATATATGATTTTTTTGTGTTGCAACATTTTTGAAATACATCTACAGCAGCACCATAATGAATAAACAAAATCGAGTGCGTATGCACGCAAAAAGTTGCCAAAAAAATTGTAAAGCTAATAAAATTGTAATTAAATTTCGTTTATTTGAGTTGAAAATTATAAATTTATACAATCAAATTGTTACTTTTAAATTAATTTCTCTACATGGTTATTTGGTTTCTTCATGAGCACAACTCTCATTAAAGTAAGACAACACGATTATTCTGAATTTTTTGCAACTTCATTTGTAAATAAAAAAGCAATTCAATACACTTTGGTTGGAATCACCTTTTTGTTTTGCTCTCTAAACATGCCTACATAAAGAATGACGGCATTTGTTGATATATTTAATTTTTTCAATTTTCTAAAAAAAAATTTAATTGGTTATGTTTATTAAAAAAATTAAATTTGTATTTTTTGTTTTTGAATGGAGGTGATTTTTTTTCAATAAACCATGTAAATATTAGCAAAGAAAATGAGAAGTGAATAACAAAAATGCATCACGTATGTATGTATGCAATTTGCTTATACTCATTTAACAAAAAAAAATAACGGAAAAATAATAATGTATGTACATTCATTAGAAACAGCTTGAAATTAAATATTCGAAAACCAGTTCAAATATTAAAAATATTTTCAGATTTTTGTATATAAAAATAAACTCAGCGAATATTATAAATATGTATGAGGAATGTACATACATAGATATGTACGTGTTCTTAGCTATAAATGGATTTCTTATTCAGCTTAAATACCCAAGTGTCAAGAAAAAATTAAAAAGTAGCCTTTACCCCCATGCAATAAATTTTACTATTTTCTCTTTAAATCGCAAATTATTGAAAATTTTTATTTCTCATTTAATTAATAATAAAAAAAAATCAAATCGAATAAAAGCTTAACGTTTGAGCTTTACGCATGAACGTATTACATATATTAATAATACATACTTATATCACAATATTTTATAAATGATTTCCCACTCATAATCATAGTAAATAATTAATATGTTCTTGATAATTATCGAATATTTATGTATGTAAGTAAATTTGCGCCCTAAAGTTTAATAGAATTTGAATAAATTTGTATATACATAAATGTGGTTGCCAACGAACGTGGCATAATGTTTAGTCGATTTTTTTATTATGACCCACATACATACATATTCATGTATGTACATAAATATTATGACTTGAATTTTGTATTGAAGAGTACTACAAATAATGACTGATAGAATTCGAAATGGGGAATGTGTATTTAACAAAATTTTGAACTTAACATAACATGTATGTATGTACATATATATATATATGTAGATGTAAAAAAATTGTAATGTTTTTCAAACTACTAAAATGTTTATTAAAAAAAATGTTTATTTACATACATTCATACATACATACATATATGTATAAATAAATATTTATTTCTTAGAGTTTCTATGCATATTTTCTTGTATTGTATGTATGTTAGCAATTCCATTGTTTATCTTTCATTCACACTACAGTCCTTATTTATTATTTTTTCAACACAACAATAACGTTTTAATAAAATTATATGAGTTACTCCGAAAAAGAAATCTATAATATACATAAATGGAATATAAAACAAAAACAATTTTTGAGGGGTACGCAGGTGCATACATATGTACATATATACATAGTTCGCAATCGTATGCAGCCGATACGTTTGAATTTATCAATTTTAGTTAAAATATGCTCTAAAAAATACATTTATAAAAAAAGTAAAAATGAATAATTGAATAAAATTATGTACGTAAATACATACATATATACATATAAGAAAAATGTAAACATAAAAATAAAGATTATATACATACAATCACACATGTGTACAAATGTATTTGTGGTTTTATTTTATTTCCAAAAACGTTTAATTGCACTAGCCAAACCAGATTAGCTAAGCCTGATTAATTAATAAAATATCTAAATTACATGAACTGATCGCTTAACAAAAATTAATAAGTTAAATATTTTAATTCTAAAAAAGTTAACAGCAACATATTCGATAAATAAATGCTAGCCCCTGCGGGTTAGGGGTTCAAGAATTTACCCGCGATTAGGCATGCTGGTCATAAGAGGCGAAAAAAATTCAATAGTTCGGAACGACCCGGATTTTTATCCGGCTAAGCACTGTCACTCCCGCAACATTTCCTCAAAATTATTTTGTGGAATATGTTTGTGGTTACAACAACAACAACATAAATAAAAAAATAAATAAATATTGTTTTATTATATGCATAAATACCCACGAATTTACATATTTATATTCATATGTGCATAAACACCTTTGTGATTTACGCACTCACCAACACAATTAACAGCATGCAATGATGTACGGCTTGAAGGGGTTAAAATTTATACATTAGTAACAAAAGCGAACTTTGGCAATATAAATTTATATGCCTCTTTAGCTCAGTGGCAGAGCACTGGTCTTGTAAACCAGGGGTCGTGAGTTCAATCCTCACAGGAGGCAACAAGGAAAATAACGTTTCGAGTCTTTTTGTGAGATGAGATATTATTTTTAAATGAAATTTAATGAAACAAACTTGCTGGAATGAATTTTATGACAAGTAAAAACTGCAATTCTTCTGCTGCTCTGAAATAGTGTTTAAATTTCGATTTTCGACTGCCATTTATTTTTAGGTTAGAAAATAAGTTGAATCTTTATTAAATACATGCTTTGTTTTATTAGTACATTTTGTTATGAATTGTGTTAATTTTATGAAGTTTGTTCTGAGAATTTTTGACATCAAGAATCTAATTTTTATTTTCAAAAGCACTTATTAAGATTCTAGAGATTTCACATGTGTACGTTGAGGAGTGTATGACAATGCTGTGCAAGCATAAAAATATCCACAAACATTCATTAAACAATTTCCAAACAACAAATTCAAAGCACACCAGAATAAAAATTGTGTTTAAACCAAAAAATTCTACGAACGAGCGCTGCAATTGTTTATACGTTCTCGGCTACAAGTTTGCTTGAATCAAAGAACGTATATGAGTATACGTTCTTTGTTATAGCGAAGCATTTGTGCGCCACTGTGCTAAAACATTCGTACACTAGCTGTGGAAGGGATAAGTTGCAAGAGCACTGTAGTACAGCCAAGCCATAATACCGATTAGAATATAATTGAACTCTAGCATTGTTCTAAAAGCATTAGTTGGAACTAAGAACTTTGACAAAAATATTTTGTGCGCCTCTTTAGCTCAGTGGCAGAGCACTGGTCTTGTAAACCAGGGGTCGTGAGTTCAATCCTCACAGGAGGCAATGCCTACTACTTCTTTTTTATCTTTTTTATAAAATTTTTTTAATATCAATTTTCACAATTGGTTACTAAGATCTGTTTATAAAAAAGGTTTTATCTTAAATGCTTTCCCCTGTTTGTAGAGACTTGAACCGTATAGGGTTTGCTTTGCATATGACGTAAGTGATAAGAAATGATTTTTGGAAAGTGGACCTGTGACGGCCGATCTATTCGAAAAAGACCTATTCAAATTCTATTTACATGAAACTCGAATATTGAGTTGGCAACTTTTTGCTTAAGCTGTGATTGAAAACATTTTTGCTTCCGAGAAAAGTGCCTGGAACTGATCTATTCGAAAGAATCGTATTTTTGGTTTGGTTTTGTTTAAAATATATGTATGTGGAATGTAAGTGAATATTTGCTTAAATCAATAAACGAAAAATTCATAATTTTGGTTCGGCTTGCCTGACAGTGACAGTGGTTTGGTCTTGGTTAATACATGTGTGAGTGGACTACTTCTCTATAAGGGAAGCGAGCCAGGGAGCATTTGGCGTTCGACATGTTTGATATTTGAATAAAAAATTTATTGTATATTATAAGTATTTAAACATGATATGTAAAAATGCTCGTTTTATAAATGTTATACAGTTTGTATTGATTGAGAGATTTGATACGAAATTCTTTTTGGCCAGAACTCGTTACGGGAACATGTTTTTTTTTTGTTAGTAAGAGCGAGAAAGTAAACTAAGGCTCTAAATAGATTCGGCTAAATAATTTCCAGTATATAAAAAAATTTGTTTATTTACCAAATATTCTGTTAGGTAGCTTCAATAAATCACGTACATATGTATATCGTAGCTCCAGGATGAAGCGGAGGCTTAAATGCCATACTAAAGCCACGTAACCGGTGGGAGGAGATGTGAGCAAAGGTTTGTAGCTTTCTTCAAATGAAACGCGTTTGGCTACATGCCTCCTAAAAAATGACAATAGGGACTATGAATGCTTGTTTAGTGTGTGGCTAAACTCAAATTTTTTAAATTTTCAAAGTAAATATTTTTAAGAAACCATGCATAGTTAGAAATCCTCTGTTTATATTGACTTTTAAGAGAGCTTTATTTGAATCAGTCTTAAGTGAACATTTTGGCACAGCGCCGAACATGCGCCTCTTTAGCTCAGTGGCAGAGCACTGGTCTTGTAAACCAGGGGTCGTGAGTTCAATCCTCACAGGAGGCAACATGTAAAAATTACATCAATTATTGGTTTTTGGTACAATTAATTTTTTTTATTAGAATAAACAATAAATATATAAAAATTTAGTCTTTGTCAATTTTACTAAATTTTGTCGAATTAAATTGCGAAATTCGTGGATAAATTGTATATTTCGAACATTTAGTAGATAACGCCAAGACTTGTTATTGGTTTTGTTATTTATAATATTAAATCATTCAACTCATTGTGTTATCAGTTGATATAATTATATTGTGTATAATTTTATATATGAAACAAAATCGTTTCCTGTTTATTTTACCATACTTGTAAGAAAAACAATTGCGCATAAGTATGTACACGTATGTGCGAGACTTTATAAGCTTTTAACAAGTGTACGTATGCATAATAATGCAATAATGTTGACGAGATACGTTCTTTGATACGTTCTTTGATTTGAATCAATTCGTCAAGTTTTTCCTAGAGAAGGAATTTCGGACTTTCATTCTGACATTTGTCATTTTTACTCGCAATAATTTTATCGATTAATTCACAAAAAATCAACAACACTATCAAAGAAAACTTTTGCAACTGAAATAAATTAACGGGATACGCAAGAATTACATAGGATAAACGTCTACATCAGCAAATGGTTATAATAATTTCCGTAATTTGATATAATCAAGATTGTGAAATATCTGCATAATTGTGCAGATTTAATGGGAGGAGAAGAAAGTGATGTATAAGACCTTGAAAATGGTTTCAGTGTCAGGCACAGCCACATATTATTGGAATGATTCACGGTTTATGGTCAGTGTAAAAGTCCAAAATTTTCTGTAATCGAGAGCTTGTAAAGTCTTATATGATTGTGTTTGATTTTTTATGGGAAGAACTGTGCTCAAAACATTTGATTCTTTTCAAGGTGTAGCATCACCTAACAAATATTAGGCTAGACAACAATAATAGTGATGCCCTGCGAATCTTGTCATGTGCAATTTACGGTGTTCCGCCGTAAACGCATCTGCACGGATTGCAAGTGAGTTTAAAATATTTTATTGGATTTGAAATGTAAATAGTTTTAATTTTGTTTATTAATAAACTTCTGTGTAGGCGTTTTTACTGCAGTAACTGCTTGTCAACTTCTAAACGTCCTACAAGCAATAATGTACATATTTCTTCGGGTGTACAATTATGCAGGCGTTGCGTGATTTTCGCGAAGCGTCCTCTTCTCCGTACAGATTTGCTAAAGTTAAAGCCGAAAGATTTGATTTTCTATCTACAATCCAAACATGTTTCAACTACTGGTTGTGTTGAAAAAGATGAGTTGGTGGGTTTGGTGCTAACGCATGTACAACAAATCGACGCATCAGCTGGGGCATCGGATAATGGTAGTGCGCGTAGCTGTGGTGACGCATCAACAAATTCGTTTGATAATATAAAACAGACGTGCCAAAACTTTTTTACAAGTATTACTGAAAACCTAAGTGATTCTTTGAGTTCATTTGACAATAAAGGCTCACCGAAAACCAGTAACAACTCGCGAGAGCAACCACGCTCTGGAAGAAATTCAACTGACAGTACAACGACGCATATTTTCGATCAGCCAAGAGTTTCAACCAGAGTAATACCCACATATGCGAGTTTTCAACAGCAAACAAATGATAACAACAGTAACGTGCAACAATCAACTACAACGATAACAACGGCATTACTTTCTACACCGGTATCTACAAATTCAACAAATGTAACCGCAACTTCACCAACATTGGTGAGTAGTAGTACATCATCGGTTACTACTAAAGGAAGCAGCAGCTTATCTTCAGTAAGTCCTGAAATTAGTATTAGTTCTATTGATCGTGCCGAGGGAAACGAATGTTTGCAAGCCTCTACCTCAAACAGTCAACGTACTGGCTTGCAAAGGCAGGAAGCCGGTGAAGAAAATTCAGATTGCGAATGTTCAGATGATGAATTGATTGCAACATTTAATGGTCGCTCTCTGGCGCGGAAAGACGAAGTGGAGCTATCAAATAAAGACACACTTAAACCCATTGATGCCGAGGAACGAAATGGTACCAAATCCAAAACCAGCACAGATGCAAATTGTGCTGAAATGTCTTCGCAATCATCATTCGAAGAGTTGGGTGCCATCGGTGGAATATCAGATGAGAGCAAAGCTACCACAGACACCAACAGCAGTAACATAGAGCAATGGCAAATCTTAGATAATACCGTGCTTCCACCTTCCTCCGAATGTCTTGTCGAATGTAACTCACAACCGGCATGCGATACGGTTGCAACTCCATCGAGCAGTAAAAATACTAATGAAAATTCGGACACCATGAAAGCGGAATGTTCTAATGAATTACAAATAGCAATACCCTTCGCTCAGCAAAATCAGGGCTCTTCACATTTGCCATTGCCGCCGCAACGTGTTAAGAAAGTAGTACGTCGCCGTTCGGATAGCTATCTAAATAGGCAACGGCAGCGTCCAGCTAGTGAAGACGATTCACCAACTGAAAACTTAGCACGCAATGCGGATATGACTCTACATGAGCATGATGTAGAATTAGGTGATAATGCTGTTGAGACTGTTGGTGGCGAAATCGGCGCTATACCCACAAAACGAGGTGGCAGCTGCAAACGTTGTGGCAAACATAAGGCGACATTGCGTAAGCAAGTAGAAAAAATGCGTCGACATCTGGAAAGTGCTCAGCTTTCCGAGACAGAGATTAAAAAAGAACTACAAGATTTTCTCAGTTACCTTGAGCAGCGTACGAAGTCTATCGAATGCTCTGACACAGAAACGGTGGGTTCCTCGTTAAGTGGCAGGAATTTGGTGCAATCACCCGAAAACCGACAAGCAACGCACACGAATTTCTGGGAAGACGCAAATATGCCACATTGGGAATATCAACTCGACGATAATGAAGGTATTCACGTGTATGCGGGCTCCACAACGGAAGCGAATGATTATAATGGGCAGACGGCACGTTTCATTAATCTCGATGACTTTGAAAGTGTGTAAGTACTTATTCCTTGTTATTGCAATAATTATATATATATTTTATCTAAATAATTTTATAATAATAAATAGAAATCACATATTAAAACTATATAAATATTTCTGTAAATAGCGATGATCTCGAAGCTCTATCGGTAAAACAACTAAAAGAGATTTTAATGCTAAATCGAGTTGATTATAAAGGTTGCTGCGAGAAGCAAGAATTACTTGAACGTGTTCAACGTCTATGGAAGAACTTCAAATCGGCGCCAGGTGGGCATAGTTGACAATTATTTATTTGGTGTCTCTTTTATCTCATTAATGTTTTTAATTCATGTACAGCTGTAGATAAACTGCCGACGGATGAGCTCTGCAAAATTTGCATGGATGCACCAATAGAATGTATAATACTAGAATGTGGGCACATGGCTACCTGCACCAATTGCGGTAAAGTGCTCAGTGAATGTCCTATATGTCGACAGTACATTGTACGTGTAGTGCGTTTCTTCCGTGCATAAGAAAATATCTAAAAACGTCGTCGAACGTAATCTTTAATTCTTTGCTATAGCCACTAATTTATATTACAGAGACGAAGTTTAGGCAATTAAATTGCAACCTATAGTATTTATGTTGTTGTGTTAAATTTACGAAAACTTAACGAAATCAACGCAAATTTAAAAAATGCAAAACATCTTAAAATCACTGAAGTAAGATTATTTTCATTCAATGCGACGTTACATATTTTAAAATCCACTAATATATGCTTCAATAACAAACACTATTCCGAAGTCTTCTGATTGTTGAGTTAGCTTATAAGTATAAAATACTTTTTATGTAATCATGTTTTTTTCTTCACTGTGTATATTTAGTTTTAATTATATTTTTATTGCATTTTTTCTTTATTTATTGCTTACACTTTCAACACTTTAATTTAAAAGCGCTTGCTTTTTATTCATTTTGTTTCGCAAAAAAAAAAAAAAAAAGAATGACAATTCGATAAATGCAGTCCAAATTAAAATTGAAGAGTTCCACCATAATATGGCGGTGCACTCATTGTGATGTCAATAATATTTACATACTAATCTTTGCATAGCTCTATATATATTATATTAGCATATTCTTAGTTAGTACGTAAAACGTAGTCAGCATCTTGTTAAACATAATTATACTGCAATGTCTATGTACAAATGTACATATGTACATACATAAAAAAATACACATTCAAAAATATTAAAGTACAATGTTTCTTTTTTCATATGTAAAATCAATCTACTATTTAAATACATTCCTTATAGGTTCAGTGTATGTATATACATGAAGATATACAATGATAATACATTACGATGCAATATATTAATACACAATACATAGTAGTTGAAGAAAAGTAAAAGAAAAACCCTATGTACATGCATAGTTCTTATTGTAAAAGTATTGTAAAGAAATGTGAAATACGTACATATATACATACAATAAATACATATAACTGAAGACTACGCTCTTTGCTTTTTTTAATGAGTTTCTCTTTTAGCCAAAAACTTGGAAAAATTGTTAAAATATTTTTATTACCAGAAACGTACAAATATTAATATTGCACTCTCGGAGGTAATCTGAATTTGTTCATATAACGAACCTACAATTTTCTGGAGTTACGGTCTTTCTACTACATATTTTTCCAACAGAAACCCTAATTGGCTTTGTTGTTGCGCTTTTGTCAACTGTCAGCTGATTTGCACTCAAAACAATTTTGTTTACAGTTATAAATATTTTTTCTGAAGTGTATAAACAAATGGCTTGCGAAATATTTAATGCCTTCGAAGGTTGCATTGAGGAGTTGGCGAATCAACGACCGTCACTACACGACCTGGACACAGAGTTACTTCCGGTTAATGCACCAAAATCTAAATCGCTGATTGAAATTTCTGGCGTAGCCGAGGCGGGGAAAAGTAAGCTGTTGTGGCGTTTAATGGCGCATTGTCTAGCGCCAACTTACTTTGGCGGACGTAATTGTGATTTAATATTTATCGATATGCGTCATAAATTCGATCTTGAACATTTCAAAAAACAAATTTTCCATTTGGTTGCCTCATCCGGCGAACCGTGCACCGATGGTGAATTAAATATGATGCTGGAAAAATGCTTAGATTCGATACATTTGTTAAACTGCTACACCCCGAAACATTTCGATGCGGCATTGGAAATAGCTGATGGTTTGCTGCTAAAACATTCTGATTGCGCAATGATAGCAATTGATGGTTTGGACGCATTCTATTGGCTGGACACGTATGAACATCGAATACGTATGCAGACCCACTACGCTCGTAATGTGGAACGTGTCCGTCAATTATGCGAACGCCATGGCATATGTTGTGCCTACACTGTTGATGCCAATTACTTGGGAGCAAAAAAAACCTTTGGTCCACCACCATTTGCATCAAGTGTCAATGTTGAATACAGACTACAGTTACAGCTGGGTAAGAATGGTGAGCGTACACTTAATGGAAAGCCGGCAGAAATTATAGAGGATGTGTTGCATATTGTGAAACAGCAGTAGCAAGGTTAGTAAGTTGTATTACTTAATACATACTTATAATTAGTCATATAAAAAAACAGCAATTAAAAAAAAAAGAAACAAAAAAAAAACAAATATGCTACACACTCCCACTATAGTCTTTTAAGGAGCTCAAAATAAAGGTGTGCTCCTTGTTCAAAACTAACCAGATTATAATTATACATTTCAAGTTCTCATTTTGTTACACCGCGAAAAAGATGAAATGCATTTTTAGCTGTTTATTCAGAAAATCGAATTTTGTGAGACAAATTGAAATAATATTCGTTGATTGCGTGTTAAGAAATTGGTTACTTAGTCTAATAAGGACAGTGATTCAAAATAATTATAATCAGGGATAAGGTGAGAATACCTGTCGGTATAAAAAAAATTCACCATCCAGTAAATTTTGACCCAATTCAGAATTCCGAGTTCACTGTCACCCTGTAAATTTGGTTACCCGCGAAATAGGAGGGAACAAATCTGCTGTTTGATTTTGTGTTGTGAAAAAAAAAGATAAAAGAAATGGTAAGCACTGGAACACGAAAATTGACGAAAATATTGAAAAATTATTGTGAAAATTTCAATTTTCATACAAATAATGAATTTTCTAAAAGAGTATGGTGGTGGTGTGGGTTTTAAGTACTCATATGTACTTTAGTCATAAAAAATTACTCTAAAAAATATACTTGCTATATTTAAAAAAGTTCAATAAACCAAATTAAGACCAGGCTCCTGTAAAATAAAAAAAAAACGATTTTTTTTCCCGTTCTCACTGTTACAGGTAAATTCAATTCTGTTACTTTTTTTCTAAACCCGAAATTGAATTTGGTATTCTGGCGAACTGGTTACTAAGTTTGAAAAAACTTTGGCAGCACTGCATTTTTCGTCTTTGTCAAATTACATTTGCTAGTTGGTAAAGTAAAAAAGGAGAATTTTCACATCGAAATGGAAGACGGTGCACTTCAGAATAAATAAGGTTTATTTATTTGTTAATTAAATCATAAATATTTAAACCTAATTTTGAAAAATATGCCTAAACGACAAAAAGAACGAAAACTCTATCTTCCAAATTGAAAGGGCAAGTTTTTTTGTCGCAAACTTCTTGGCTTACGCCTTTTTACACTTTTTTCCTCATCTTCAATGAATTCCAGGCCTAAAATTTGCCTACCCATTTTGGTTTTTATTTTTTCTTAAACTAACAACAAAAAACAACCAGCAGATTCTTTGTTACCTCCTATTTCGCTGGTAACAAAATATACAGGGTGATAGTGAACTTAGAATACGAAATAGTAACAAAATTTACTGAATGGTAAATTTTGATACCAAAAGTAAATTTTGTTACCTCGACAGAATAGGGCTGTTAGAAATAATATAGAATTAGTCCCAAAGGGCCGCAACACCAAGAAGTGAGTATAGAAGAGGGAAGAGCGGAGCGCGTCAAGTGTTAAATCCGAAGCGCTCGAGTACTTAAATCGGCACGGAAGCCACGTTTAGAACCTATTGAACCTAACAACATGAAGTAAACGGTATTTTTCTCCAAAAATGTTGTTCGATACTACAACCAAAAATTATTATTTTTATTAAAAAAAATTTATAAGCTATTAAAATTGAAAAAATGTTAAAATAATTAAAAACTCCACATAGCCAATGTGATACAGAATAAGAAACCGTTTCGATTTTTGGTTTCAGATTATTAATTTTACAGTTATCGAGTTACTCACCAAAAAAAGGGACGTGTTTCAGCAGCAATTTTTAGAGCTGCCAATAATAAAATAACAAATTTCTTTGTTGCATAACAAATATTCAATTCATACAAACAACAAGGCCTCGTAGTTTACTTAATAAAATTAAAAATTTACTATTTTTTTCACTATTTCTAAAAAATATATAATATGATTTGAGACAGTTCCATAAAAACTTAACACTTAAAACCAAAAAAAAAAAAATTTTCACCTTATATTTTCTACAAAAAAAAAAAATATCTACAGAAACTCTAATTTATAAATATAAAATTAAATACAATTTGTTTAAAAAAAAACAAGTTTCTGGAGGAACCTAGAATTAAATATCATTTGAATTTTGCTTTATGGCAAAATGTTGTTGAGTAAAAAATCTCAAAATCCAAACAAAGATTTTCTCGTATAAATCGCTTCCTGGTTTACTTCCCGGCTAATTTTTTTTTCGTAGAAACCTTCCATCAAATATAAATAATTGGAAACATTGGATACGCAAGCCTTCCTATATAATTCCAACGTAAATGAACGTATGATGCCATCCATCGGCTTTTGGAATAAACTGGTGTGTGGTGCTTGATCCACTTCCGAAAACAATTTCAAAAAGTTTATATATTAATTCGAGCACAGATCCATTTTTCAAATATGTAGATTATTCCGAGCCCCCGCCGATACAAACTATTCTCAATTTCATTCTCATCCAAATATACACAAAAAATTTAATTAAAATTGGCCCAGTCATTTCAGAGTAAATGAATGATTGATTAAGACGAAAAAATTCTACTGATCTTAAAGCTAACGTTTACTCGATTTTGGCGCCTGAACATGGTCTTGTTGTATGCGAACTTGACACTCCAAGCCACGAAATCAATGACGATCTCCTTTAACAGTTTTACAAAGGAGTACCGCCTAAACCTAAATTTCTGGACTGGACTGGGGCAAGGTGTCAGAAAACCGTCATAAAAACAGCGTCGAAAACTTACTAATATCGCCCGTACACCGTCCAGGAGCATAAGGTATACTTTGCAAATGATATCTGCTGCGATGCTATCTTGGCGATTATCTCATCACACGTTGAATTGAAGCAGAACCGCTCGTTAGGTACATTATAATGGATGTACTTGATTATACGGACTCTATACAGTCTTAACTCTTTTCTGTAAATGGCAACAAGGAAATCCAAGCAGCGGACTGAGCACAAACTGTCTCTGGAGACCCAAGTAATCTACTCATTCAAAAATCAAGTCTTCCTTTTTGTAATTATTTTTTTTAGTTTTTAATTTATTTGGTATATGTTATTATAAAATAAAACAGTCTTATTTAAAAAACTAATTTATCAATGACAATATTCAGAAGTGGAATAATATATGGAAACTAGACCTACATTTTCTGACTAGAACTGGCACTGATCCATTCTCATTTTTCTCAATATATTAATTTTACTTGTATCTATCATGTTGTACTTGGTAGTTTCTTATAGCGCGCTTTTTTCAAAAACTGAACGCATTGAAATCTTAAGGATTTATAAATAAATGTAATACGTAGATGTATGTACGTATGTATATATGTATGTAATTATTTTTAAATTAATTTTTAGACTAGTATTGGCACTGATTGATTCTCATTATTCTTTGGCTGTTCTTCTAACCGCTCCTCACACACGCATTTTATACCGTATTCACTTACGATTCACTCGCAAATCGAGTGGACTCTCAAGCTCCATAGGCTGCCCAGCGTTTTCCTCGCTTTGCGCATTGGAACTCCAACAATTGCTTGATGCTGTACTACTCCGCGCTGGCGAATGCGTCGTTGTTGCGTAGTAGTAATCGAGTTGCGCCGCTTCTATGTTGCAGAGATCCTCCTCCATGGCATTGAGATAGTAATGAGGCTGTGACGGTGGTGGCACGCATAGCTGACACACTGGTATCGCGGCGTCACTGTAACATTTCAGATACTGTTCATCATGCACATGATGATTGCCGGCGGCCACAATAGCAGCATTCAGCGCCGGTGAAGAAATTATATTGTTGGGTAAATGTGTGTGACGTCCGATTTGTGCTTGCGCCGTTTCAGCGGCGGCAATCATGTGATTTTGTATGGGTGTAATAGCAGCGCTACCAATTAGTTGAATCGAATGTTTGAACGTTTTCACATGTTTGCGCAACGAGGATGGATCTGTGTAGCGTTTTTGACAACCAGGTACCTTACACATATACGGCTTGTCCATGGTATGTGTGCGGGTGTGCTTGAAACGATCCGAAGAATTCGAGTATGCCTTGTTGCAGCCCTCAAAGGTGCAAAGGTATGGTTTCTCGCCCGAATGCGAACGTATGTGAATTTTCAAATTCTCTGCGCGTGAAAAACTTTTTGTGCAGAGATGACATTGGTGGGGCTTCTCTTTGGTGTGGGTACGTGCATGTACGAGCATTTTATAACGGGCGGAGAAACCGCGCATGCGCGTGCAACCCTGCCAGCGGCAATAGTACAAACCGTCGGCGGGTGAAGCAACAGCGTGTACCTTGGTTACGTGGGCAGCAAGTGATTCGAGGCTATTGTGATCTCTGCAAAATAAAAGGAAAAAAGAACAAAGTTTAGTAAATTCAGTAGCAGTTTAAGGAGTTTGAGGAGTTTGAGGAGTTTCGAGGCAATAGAAGTAGTGGGACTTGTAAGTTTTGGGTAGTAGTGATGTAGGGGCTGACGAAATTGAGATGATTCTTGTATCATACTCATAAAGTATACTAAGAATAGAACTTAAATGATGAGGAAAATGCAAGTCTTTTATCTCTGGGTTATATCCGTGTGAGTGTACTCGAAGCTAATATGCGGCCCTGTGGGTGCAATGTGTTATGTACATACATATATATATTTGTATGCACACGAAGCATTTTAAGGTGTTGTCTAGTTTTATGAGCCTCAATGACGAGCCTTATCAGTTTAGGAAGTGGCTTAATACCACAAGAAGGTGCCATAAAAGCGAAAAATGATTAATATATTATTATTATTATTATTTGTGTTGTTCTTGTGATTGTTTTTGTGCGCGTGTTGTATTATTATTATTATTATGTTGTTGTTATTGTTGTATTACAACTCACCTGCCACAATCAATCCATTCGCAAACATATTCACTGCGTTTCGGTGTCGAGCTGGCGCTACTCGCGGATGTATTGGATGTCGTCATTCTGCTCGTCGTCTCATGTTGTAGCGCATCAGCGCTGCCCACAGTATCATCCAAGCCAATTATATCCACATGCATATCATCGACTGGGGGCTCCGTTACGCTTGCTGGCATATTTGTTGTATTCAAATTATGATTTTGTCCAATTTTCATAATGACCGATTGTGTGCGCGTGCTAAGTGCCTGTTGCGAACTGCTGGCAACCAGTGTCTTATAGCCACTCTTATTATATGGTGGCGTGATGGGCGGTGTAGGGAACCTCAAGTGGTGCATTTGTAGCGTCTCATCGAAGTGTTGTTTTGGCGATGTTTGAGTTAGCTGTGTTGAGAGTAGATCCAAATGATGATTCCAATCTTCATAGGCGGCTATAGCGGCTGAGGCGGCGCTCAAGTGTTGATAGTAGGCGCTTGTCGGCACAAATGCAGAGTTAAGGCTGCTGCTGAGAAATTTAGAATTTTTTACTGCCATGGCGTAGCAGATTTTGTTTTGGAATTTTTTTTTTTTATATTAGTTGGAATTAGTAACTAGTTTTTGGCGATTTTGGAATCTCTTTTTTCTTTAATTTCAATTGTCTTGTTTTGTTTTTTTTTTTTTTTGCTTCTAGAACCGTTGGCTAAGACGATCTCACGACAACTGAGTGCGTTTGCTAGCGAACACGCTCATATATGGGTACAAAAAAAAGCATAAGCGTGTGCGATAAGAAGTCTACATCTTATCAGCCACCTTCTACATACGGAACGAGTAGTTATAGAGCGGCATCGACGTGGTAGTGGGCTTTCGTGTAGACAGGCAAGCGGGGGTGCGCGGCAGGTACCCATCGATGTACACACACAATGCTATCAGGCATGCACCGTCGATAGGGTGGAGTGAGTGGCTATTTTTAAATGCGAAAAAAAACTATTTTTTTTGCACCCTTTTTTTTTTTTTTGCTTGTAATAACAGTAAACTAATGAAGAGAGCAATCGATTTCACGCACTAACCAATGAATTTCATTCAAAATCAATTCACCTGCACACGCATCGAATCGTGGGGTGCGCTTATCTAGCCGCCAACGGTTGCTAGTGTACAATAAAACCCAAATTTGGCTGAGCCAACGTGTATGTAGTACATACATATTTGATTACGCATGTGCTCTCGGCGCTGCGGAGCGACGCTGTTATCGCGCTACGTGAGGTCAAGTGTAAATAAGTAAGCATCATTGTCATTGACGGTGTTGACGTTGTTGTTGTTGTTGTTGTTGTTGTTGTTGTTGTTGTTGTTGTTACTGTTGTCTGGTAATTGTTAGCGCCGCTCTCGCTTGGGGTCCTCTGGACTGGTTTAAACTTGATTTGAAGCTGCGCGGCGGACTTTGTGACTGGCGGGATTGAACGCTGAGGGGCTCTTCGGACATATTAATGTATGTAGGTGTGTGCGAGTAGAAGAAATGAGCGAGGCGGGTTCTTACATTGATATACATATGTATGTACATATATACATACATACGTATTTAAATACTGTCTGTTCTAGCATATTTCTAAACAAAGCTCATGTTTCTCCTTAGCGCTAAAAGAAATCAGGAAGCCTAAACGCAAGCACGGTGTGCGTAATAACGTGTTGCGAGTGCTAATTTATCGCTTTGCTTGGCGTCTGCTGATCTCTGATAACACGTTGAAATGTCCACAATTTTCCACTAGTCGCGGCGCGACGTGTACCGAAAACTAGACGCATAACAACAACAACAACACAACTCATTAGTCTATTAACCACCCAGACGGTCTATAACATGAGAAATAAATATCGGTTATAAAAATTGGCATTAATCGCTTTTTTCCCGACCGCGCCCGCACTCGCGCCACTATACCAATTCCATTCGCAGTCTTGTATGTCACCCACTTGTTTATTGATAAGAGTATTGCTTGGCGCATTCTGGTAGTGTTGTATGTGTGTGTCTTTTTGTGCGTCGCGGGAGAAACACGAGCAGACGCGCTCACCTAATCAACTACGGACCAACCTAGAGAGTTCTTATCGGATGTCTGGGTTATTTCATTTGTTGTATGTACTAAATAAAAAGTCCAGAGTACTCGATCGTAGGAAGTAAACATCGGCTGCGTGTGAGCCGATGTTATTTGCGCGTTTTTTTTTTTTATTGGTAACGCTGGTTTGGCATATACCATTCGGCAGTCTAATGTGTCATGTCGGTTTGCGTTCGCCTCGTCTCGTCTGGTCTCGTCGTTAAGTTGGCGAATATGGACATACATACATGTATGTATATGTATGTAGATATATATATATGTATGAAAATTCATGCGATTTAGCAAATGATTCACAACAATTTTACGAAGTCAAATCTGTTGCCGCCTCGTGTAGGCATCGATAAGCATACACATATATGTTCGTACATATGTCGACATAAATATACTTCTCACTTTCTACCATATATGTACATATGTACGAGTATAGTGTAGTATGCAATCAGTCTGCGCAACAGGTGTGGGTGGTGGTATACGGCGAACCAGCCGGTCCGTCCGCTCAGCCTGCACACTCTCCTAAAGCAGGTACATGCGGCTTTTTATTCTACGAGTATATAGTATTTGCAAAGATATTTTTATTTCATTGGAGATAATGAGCTTTTTTTTGCATATGGTTTACTATAGATATATATGTATGTATGTAGCCACTTGTGTTTTTTCACGTCTGCAGTCTGGAGCTCTCGAGTTTATCAAAAATTATTTATGTGTTTTACTTAGAACTCTTTTTATAGATTATCATAATTGTTTCATCTATTTTTGCAAGCGTTTAAAATTGGCATTTTGTTATCGCCAAAATTCTCGAGAGGCAGTTGGTAGTAGTCAACCACAGTAATAATGGGCTCTAGGTTAGTACCAGTTGGATTTTAATTTTATAATAATAACTCATGCACAAGCTTCGTTGTCAAAGGAAGGCCGAGTCTACTTCAATTCTTCCACATTACTCATTGCGAGGAACCCGCGAAGAGGATAAAGCTGCCGCCGAATGTGGACTAATGAAGATGGAATTCCGAGAGCGCCGTCATCAGTTCATAGAAAGTGTCTTTTAAACATCGTCCACAAGGCTTAATTTGCACAATAAGAGGTTTGACAAGATGCGCTTCAGCCTACAGCATAATGAAAACCCCCTACAAACACGTAGCGTCGATAGCAAACCATGAGAAGATTCCAGTAGGACGAGTATTAGCTAATTATATGAGATCGACGAAGATATTAACTTCAGCCAGAGAACTATCATCACGCGGCCACTATATTCAACTCTTGTTGTAACAGAGAGCTCAAAAAGAGAACAGAATTTATGAGACCACCAAACCAGAAAATCCCGCTTACATAAAAACGAATAGAAAAAAACTAGTTCGTTTTACCCCAAAAGCTTAGACAGAGGTGTTATGACGGCCGATGTTTGAAGTATACTACACCTCTTGAGAGAAACTCTTCAGCTTGCTCTTAATTGAAGCAAAAAATGAAACACACGGACTTGGCGAAGTCGAATATTGTATCGGTGACGATAGAATAGACGCTCAATCGAGGTCGAGGTTGATGAAGTCACAAGCCTTATTAGATGTTGTAGAGAAAAAAAGGCAAGAGACGTTGAGCTACTGGCTGAACTATTGTAATATGTTGCCGGAGAGCTGCTAACTACAAATGTAAGCATATACATCAGTCTCTCTACAGACTATAGTCGAATGACAGCTTTTCCGACAATTGGAGTCTCAGTAGGCGCTGCCCAAACCACAGAAAAGGAGACTCTTCAGTCTATGCCAATTTTTATAGAATAAGTCTGGTGAGCCTGGTGAACTTTACCTTGATCACATATTCACCATAGCAAGGAACTTAGCCGAAAATTTCTTCAACGGTTACAAAGCGCTATATATAATATTATATATATATATATATATATATGTATGTATATGTATATAAAGAACTATCAGAAAGGGTTGAAAACCACAGCTTTCTTTTTTATCTTTTTTTTTAACCGCCTTTGATAGAATGTTATGAAACTAGAAATGGATAGGGCCACTCCTAGCTGCAGAGCTAAACAGAGAAAGTAAAATTTCCTATCGACCAAAAAAAAAAACCAAAGCTCTATAATTCGCTTATTATCTCCGTCCAGATATATGGTGTACAAGCATGAACAATTGCGACAACCGCCGGGTGGCACTAAGAGCCTTTGAGAGAGAAGAGGCGTGCTAGCGACGGTGATTAACTTAGAGGATGGAACGAAGAGCTCTATCAGATATTCGGCGGCATTGACTTATTTCACTCCATTGGAAATACCAGGTAGAGAAGGACCTGACTGTACTTGCTATTTGCGATTGGCGTCAAAGAGCGTAAAAAAGAAATAAATGGCGCGCTTCGGTTAACTCGGCTATAATCACACAAGCGGTCTCTACGTCAGCTAGGTAATGTCGTCCGGCTTGTAAAGTTGACGACACAACGGGATAACTGCTTAAAAGCGGTTTGTTTTCGTTTGTAAAAGTTTAAAAATAAATCTCATCGCAGATTTGCATTAAATATAAACTTTGAGTCTCATTTGCAAAACTTTTACGTTCAATATACTTTTGCGCATACCTAATTATTTATTTATTTATTTTTTAATTTTTTTTTTTTAATTGTAATTATTGTACACGTACAATACATATTTCTGTATGTATATACATATTTTCGATTCGTTAAACCGGTTTTTGTTGGTTTAGAGAAATTGCGCCGTCAGCCGTCGGATCTGAGGCTTCTAGCTGAACTTTGCTTCGATTTTACTGATAATAGCCCCCAGCTGATATGGAAATACACATATATGTATGTAAATACATAAATATACAACATTCATATGTAAGTAGGTATGTATGTAAATATGCTTCCACACGTAATCAATTAAAAAAATACAAATAAAAAATACAACAAACAAAAAAAATAAACATAAAAAAATAAACAAAAAATAAATAAATAAATAAAAATTAAAAATAAAAACATTCGAAGACAACAAGCTTCTCAGCAGATCCCTCGGTTATTTTTTTTCTTTGCCTTCATTAAAAACCCCATTTTTATGTTTTGGCGTTGGAGCCAGTCGTCTATACACGTGCCTATTGTGTTCGCGAAAAGCACATTAAATTCATAATTGAAGTGACACTATTAGAATTTAATAAAGACAAGACGAGACAAAAGCCAACCTTTTCGATTATCGCTAGTTTACACGATTTGTAGATTTCTGCACTATCTGCTGTCTCCTTTATTCGATGACCAATATTAATACTAAAGCTCTAAGTCGCGGAGCACAATGAGTCTTGTCAATGGCTTCAGTGTGGTGAGGTGCAGAAACTCCTCTTGCAATCATTAAACCAAGTAGGCAAAGCTCTAATTACTAGTGGGAGTTCCTCGGCACTCATAGTGCTCAATACCTCCGAGCTCATATTCGAAGATGTTCGAGTAACGCGCATAGAACAGATTTGCGAGTACACGCAATACTTCGGCTATTGGAAAATGTCCGACTAAAATCATGAGATCTAACTAATATAAATATATAGAGAATTACAGAATATTATTTAGAATTTTTCTGTCGATTTCAATAAATAAAATATGCATGTGTCATGTCAGAAACTCACTCGGAGAGAATGAAATTCCCCGTCGAGAGCGATGAAATTAGAAAATTATATTTCAATCTGTCTTCCGCTACTAAAACCAGGGAATTTCGGCATATCACTCCCTCACTCGCAGTGAAAACACTTCAGGCCAAGCTACCTCTGCCTCACGAACTGAGCGAGCTTCAGAAAAGTGCACAGTACCATGACTTGCCTTAACCGATATGGATCGTACGTGCGAAATGTCCTCACAACGCATTGAAGGATCCTAATTACGGCTGAAATTTAAGAGGTTGCCCATAAATTGTCTGGGTGGTCAAAAGTCTTTGATAGAGTTTTGACTTTAAAATACAAAACTAAAAATCTAAACAAAGTTTTCGGCAGGGTTGTATACTCTTGCCGCTTTTGCTTACTTTTTATATTTCAAAACTCACCGAAAAATCTTTGGCTAACCCCTTTACTACTTGAAACCTTAAGCTACTGAGTATCACATTAGTCAACCTGCACTCCTGCACTCCACACACTATTGTAATTGCAATGAAATTAAAAAAATTTAAAGAACTGCAACAAAATCCCCTAATCGCTCGTCAGCAGCACCGGGCGATTGGTAACCCGGAACTAGCGAGACCTAGTTAGGTACAAGCCGAAAAAACTATCAAAATACCGCCTTGAGAAGTATAACGGGAAACTTAGTGATGTTACGTAGGTGGAGGAGCATAAAATTATGCTGTGTAAGGAATAACTTCTAGAATGATACCATACGAATCATCTTAGCAGACATCTAGGGGAAGTCGAAGCACAAACTAGGCATATCAGCAATGGTGTACTCGATCTAAAGGCCCGCAGTCAAATCCACAAAACAGAATCGTTGGATAGGGCGACATACCGACAGGCTCACATGCCATTCAAAAGGGTCCATCAAAACTTTTTGAAAGTTTTTTTTTCCATAAAAAGGTAACTTGAGCACGGAATCTAACCACCACCCATAGCAGATGAAGAAATCCAGCTGTAGCTGACGCAACTCCTACTTATCCCCATTAAATTCTACTCATCTAACCCCCACTCTCCCTTCGGTCCGAGCCTGTCGGAAAATCTCATTGATCTCGAAGACATAGACTAACTTTTTCTGCTTTTGGGCGGGTTTTTCTATAAATTTTGTGCAGAGTTCTAGCCTATGACTCTCCGTAAGCACAAAAAACAAAGAAACACACAACAGCCATACGTAAGACTGGGAGTCCTCGAACTCCGAGTCAGTTCGAGTATTGGTGGAGTACAATCCCCGTTTAGTTCCCTTCAGATCCCTCCTTCGAATGAACACTGCATATCATCATCCCAATCCCAATGCTCACATTCAGAACGATTTGCAACCAACTTAGCACAAAGTACAACGTATA